GTAATCTCGATCTCTGCTCATGTTCCGCACCTTATTCTGGTCGCTCGAAATTTCTCAAGGCTAGTGATTTTCGTCTTCTCAACTCATCTGTTTCCGAAGAGACAGTCGTGAGTCATTCGACGGGTGAATTATACCTGCAGGTCTTACACCACAGTTTCATCTTTTGCGCCGCTTAACGATAATGAACGCGGCACCGGGATTAATCAGCGTTGACCCACATCTCTTTTCGATTGGATCGGCGCCACACAACATCAATCGAACACGACAAGTGTCTGATTAAGAGAGAACTTGTGTATCTGTCGATTTAAGGCTTGTTCATACACAAGTTGACGTTGTAATTGAAATTGAAATATACAAGCGAGATGTGCGTTTAGTGCGACAGTGTTTTATAAATAAAAGGTAAATATGTTAAGACAAACAAAAACTCTACCATGTTGCTCGTGTTAAAACTTAATAGGACACAAACTAGGAAAAACATATCGCGATTCTAAAACCGTAAAACTACTCTATTTTTTTCTGAATATCACGAGACTTGTTTTTAATTTTATATTTTTTTACATTTTAAACTTGTAAATTCATAATCAAAACACACTCGTCACTGTAAAATACAAACAGTCATCTTATGTGAATGATACTTCACACTTACATGGTTACAGTGCGCATCCCATTGACTACGATGCACTGGTGGTCGCGTGGCGGCACGTTTCGCTGCTCTGACTCACATGTGTCATTCGGTATAAATTACAATTCCATTAACGTAGTAGAACAGCGGAGCTGTGCATAATACTCTCCAAACCTGATCTCTCGTATTCTCTCTCTCTCTCTCTCTCTCTTTCTCTCTCGCTCTCTAGATTGGGATGTCAAGTGTGCAACGTGTAATATTGCAAAGGGATGAAGCGGGGCGATAGCGTTCCGATATGGGACAGGCGATCGAAGTTGCGTTTTTCGCCGCTAACGAGATTAATATTTACGCGCAACGTACACACGCATTGTTATCGAAACAATATGAACGGAAAATACAGGTTTTCAAAAAGATTAGCTGTATTTTGCACTAACAATATTTTACGATTCCGATAACATCAATTAAATATTATATATAATATTTGAATTTCAACTTGCGCATTGATCATCGCTCTCATCTGAGACAAATGTTCGAAAAGTCCATATTGAAGCTGATGGTCAGACGGGGCAATTTCAAGGCCTCGGGAGTATCAGAGATAAAGTCGAAAAATCAACGTGAATTTCCTTCCATCTCTCGATGGGATACGTCGCTGTCAAGTAAAACAAGATGTCTCCCTATTTTCTGCAAGAATGAAAGACAGAGACAAGCGTGCCCGCGACTAAGGGTTCGTTCTCGAAGGGACGGAAACCCTTGAGCAAAGAGCAGAGCGGAAGTCGAGGAAGGAGAAACCGGAGAAAAAGGGGAGAGATCAAACGATGGAAGAACACTTCACAAGGAGGGATGAGTTAGAGGGAGCGTTAGGAACAAGAGAGGGCTTTAAGGGAGACAGAAAAAGACGTGAAATCTAGAGGATGAGGAAGAACACAAGATGGAAAAAGATACGATAAGAGGAACAGAAAGGAAGGGAAAGAAAGCGAGACAGTTTGGTTAAAAGTTGATGAAGAAGAAAGAGAGAAGAAGCGCAGAAGAAAGATGAATGTTGAGAATTGAGGAGCTCTCTTTGTAAGAAGAAGAAGAATGCGGCGTTTAAGGAAGTAGCTAGAGAAAGACAGAAAGAGAGGGATAGATAAACGAGGGTTGTAGGGAGCGAGAGACGATGCCGGGTGTCGAGGGGTTACTGCAGTCGGTGGCATGGACGGAGGGATGAAATGGGGAAAACATTCGCCAGCTCTGGCGGGGTTGGTGTCGGGGCGACCAGACTGATACACAAGGGGCCCATGCCAGAGTGTGCGCTGGTAATTGCGAGCTCTATGTAGATCCACTTACAGTGATTAAAAACTGTCCTGCTGGGTATCATCCGCGGCAGAACGACGCATCAAGAAACGTCGGGCCGTAGAAAAGAGGGAAGAGCAACGGTCAGGATGCGCTGAGAATAATTCCGTCACGTCTCGCACGCAGCCGTGTCATTTGGCGCGTTTAAATAATTTCGCGTCTTGCGATTATTGCGGTTCTTTTTTATTTTCAATTACGTTTTTCTTGTTATTATTTTTCGAATAAATATACTATTAAACAATTATCTCAGTCTCGAAGAACTGACACTAAAAAAGTAATACATAATCCGTTTTGCTTAGGAATCGGTTTTTTATACAAATGTCATGATATTTATCATGATATATACTTTTTGAGTAAAAAATAAAAATAAAAGTTTCTAAAATATTCAACTTACAAAATCAAATTTAGTGCACAATCATTTTTCTTACATTCTGTCTTGCTGTATCTATTGCACGCAAACTGCAGCAGGTCCATACTTTCAATTAAGGAAATAAGTTTAGGGTGATGGCGCATCACTCTGCCATCTCAGTCTTAATTACGGTCTGCTCTGTGCAGCGTGGAAACATTCGCTTTTATTGGCACAGTCGTCCAAATGGCATTACAAATTAATCAGAGATACGTGATACATTTATTTCTGTATATACGCAATTAAATAGTATCTATACCTATATATATATATATATTTTTTTTTTAATATGTATTTTTATTTTAATGTCTTTAAATATATAAAGATCCAATTTCTAAGATCTTCAAATTTGTTTTGCAAACTTTTATTAAAAATATCGTTTTTATATCTGGCGTTTATTTTAAATATTTTAATAAACGTATATTTTAATAAACTAAAAATTTGAAGTTTGCTTAAAACCTATTTATGCAAGATACAGTCTAAAATAAAATTATGATTTCTATTTATAAATGCAATCAGTATAGTATCAAATGCTTATCACGCTGTGGAATATATATTTTGCCAATGCCGAATTAGATCGACCCTAGGTCAGGTCAACCGAGCGAAATCCGCGGTTAACTCATCCGAGAAGGAAAATCACGACGACGTCTAAGCAAAGGGTGAACTAAACGGGATAAGCGTAGCACAAATTGCACGATCGTGTGGTACTTCTATAGAATTCCTAATGTTCGATATTTACTTTACCAATGCACATTATCGAGACTCAAAGCTAACAGGTTCGAAACTAACTTACAAATGTGTTTTGTTTTATATGAATTAATAAATAAACTTTTGCGTAAAAATTTTTATATTTCAATAAAACAATAAACTATGATATAGAGATGTGTTTCGAAGTTCACTCGAGATCAAGCGAGCAAGGGGATGAATTCCCTCACAGCTATATAAAGAGGCGATTAAATATTTATCCAGAAGGTGCCGGACATCTGTCGATATGCCTTGTTGCACTTTATTTTGACGTGGTATATTTGTTTAACATTAACGCTACGCCCGCGTGCGCGCTCTCACCCTAATTCGTCGTCGTCGCCGTCGTCACTTCGGCAAACAACGGCACACATGCTACGGTCCGCTCGAGGTTTGGTCCGTGGCCAAATACGAATTATTAGCGTTGTCTTTGGCACATACTAAAATGTATAGTTAATCGCGAGACAATTAAAAAAAATGACAGCAAACGCGTTGAATCCATATTGAATAAATTTTTATCGCAAAGGTATAAAATTCCGATGAAACGCGAGCTTCTGCATTTTCTTATCTTTTCTCGTTTTGACGATCGTATACATAGACAAATAAAGCGTGCTGTTGTTATTAAGCTATTTACTAGAAAAAAAGAGTAAACTAATAATGTTAAATAATAATAATTTTAAAAACAAGATTATTTTTTTGAAAAAAATTTTTGTATATTCCAGTATTTTATTAATTTCTTCTATGGAATTGATTTCGTATTTGTTTTCTGATCTATTTCAGATCACCAAGAAATACACGATGTCGGATATAATCGATTTCGTATTAATTAACGAAAAAACGGATCGGAGTTGTATGTGTTCACTGTGTAGTTTGACTCAAATTTCGCGAAAAATCGCCGCGCCGATCGCAGCAACTGGCGCGCGACGATCAGCAACAGCGACAGTAGCAACAGCGGCGGCAGCAGCAGCAGCTGATAAAAATCCAATAGTCCCAGTGTTTGCCAGCCGGAAAGGGCAATCACGTTCATCATGGTGTCCTGCGCTCCCGCCGTCGTCCCTCGCACGTCTCCGTGCCGTCAACCCTCCCGAGCCACCCTCTACCGCCTACCTCGCGTCCCTTCCATCCCTCGTGCAGTCTCCCCTCGCTTGCTCCAACCGACAGCTCGAGAGCAGTTACGTCCTACGAACTCTGAACGTAGCCGCCCCTGGAAAATCCGAGGGTGGGATTCACGTGCGCGCACGTTGAGAAACGAACGCGTACAGGGAGTGACGAGGAGGGACGGAGATTGAAGGGGATCGCCGTAAGGGAAGCGTGGGAGATGAGGTGGGGAGCGGGCGGAGAGAGCATCGAGAGTTAGAGGAACGAGCAAGGGGTGTAAAGGGGTGGATGAGGGCAGCGCCGCCGGTCAGATAAACGCTAAAGCAAATAAATCCGCTACTTTAACATGCAGGTCACCGCAGGTGTCTGTTTATTTTATTCGTTAAATATTTCATTTGGCCGGCTAGGGCCAATTACGAGCGCGCCGAACGACCGGCCTCGCCGTTTCGCTCTGACGAGCGTCGTTCTTCGACGTCTCTCGCGCAACGCGATTTCCACTGTCGCGACATGTTCCGTCTGCTTTTCCGGGACATCGTAAAGTTGAGTCTGCATTTCGAAGCTAGCTAGTATGGGTTTTTATGTTACATCGATTTTTCGTAGGATTTGCGATATTTGAGATATACAAATTATCTTTGACGATACATATAAACATCAAATTATACAGTATTTTGACAAATTTGAAACTTTGCGCAAAGAAAATTATTTTTTTTATCATTTCTTTGCAATTCTGTAATTTGTGATTAAAATTCTTGAAAAGCAGAAGAGAGACTAACGTCTTGGTCACTCGGTGTGCTGTTGCAGGTGTGGTTCCAGAATCGGCGCGCGAAATTTCGCAAGCAGGAAAGGTTGGCCCAACAGAAGTCTACATCGCAAAGCGGAATCGGTGCCGACAGCGGCGCGTCTAGCCCCGTGACCGGCACCGTGAAGGCGGAAGGACGTTCGCCGAGGAGTCCGGCGACGCCACCCGGTGGCTCGAACAGCGTGTTATCGTCGAACGAAATCAAGCCGATGGCCAATCAGAGCTTGATGAAGCACACCACAACCGACGGCGTTGGCGATGGCGGTTCACCGAACGCACGTGGAAGCAACAGCGGAGGCAGCGGTAACGGCACCTGGGGTTCCTGCAGTCCCAGGCCGTTCTCGGCAGCGCTACCGCCCTATCTGCTAGATCCGCTGCCTCTGAAAACCGCAAACCTCTATTAAACCGTCTCCTTCGATCGCCACCGGCATGGCGAACAAGTGTAAATACATACAGAGAGCCGGCCGCTATTCTCTCAAAAAAAAAAAAAAAAAAAAAAAACACGAAGGAACAACATGCCGTTCAGTGTTTTTTCAACAGCGTCCACTCGCAATGAGCGATAGTATCGTTAAGGACTTGATTAGGTCACTACTCGAAGGAGTTTTTGGTAGGACGCGCCGCTGACAGTTTTGACAGCAATTTAACAGTCGGAAGAAAACGGGTAGAACAAGTGCGACAGTTCGCTTTGAGGCAGCGTCTACTAAGATGTGTTACAGAATTTGTGAGCGTGCCACAGAGTGCAACATTATTTGGATTCGTTAAAATCAAGAATCGAGGTAAATATCATTTAAGTTACATTTTGAATGTTGTGATGTTTTACGGTACTTTTAAGTTTGCCGGATAAAAAGGATTTTAAATATTAAAACAACTATATGTTATGCTTGTTTTTGCATTTCTGTGATAAGCGTAGAAAAATATTTAAAATCCTCGGGACGCAATTTTTTTGTTTTCAGTTACGCATTTCTTATTTCTATTATTTCCCGTTAACAACCAAGAGTAAATAACAATCACATTAGAAAAATATTTATAAAGTACTATTAATCTCGCGATTACTGAGCCTGACGTTTAATTTTGATAATTAGAATTTATTTATATGTTGAAAATTTATGGCTACACCACGTACGAAATTTTTTACAATATTTATTAAGTAAGTAGCAAACAAACGTATACTTCTCCACAATAAAATCTTTAATGCAAATACCGAATGCTTCGCACTGATTTCGTGCACGATTTTCAACAGCCTGTCGACCGATTAAAAATTAGAGCAGCAATTAGGGAAGTGAAAACAGTGAATGAAAATCTTGAATAAAATTCTCGATATAAAGCATTCCAATATAGTATATATTTTTTATTATAACTTAAAACTTGCGTTGCAATTGTGTATAACAATTTGTTGATTGTGATCTTTAACTCGGAAACAAATTTCGATTACATAAAATTCCACAAAATTTATATCGGGAATTGCTGCGTGACGGTCAGTTCGTTTGCGTTCGCAGATCGACGAAGTTTTTCTTAAAAAGAGATCCTTAAGATAAATACTTGCATACCGTCCTGTATGTCTCGTACCAAGAAGAGCGAGGGTACCTGTTTTATCACAATATTACGGTGGACAATTTTCGGCGGCGATGTAACTCGTTCGTCATGCGCCGATAACGAGCGCGTATTCTGCTGCGTATGTATAGTTTATCAATTATGACTGAATCTATTTTATAGTGAGATGTATAAATGTACATTAGTTAAGACAAAGATATGTATAGTTTACCTGGAAGTATTTTCTTTGTTCCATGAGTCTCGTTAGATTAGCCATAATCTTTGGAGGATTGGTTGGAGCAATACTTGTTCGTATATAGATGTAACAATTTTACAAAATATTTGAGCAACAAATAATTACGAAAAGGAAATTGATGTCAAAACATTTAACGAACGAGTATTCGATCCTACTCATTAGAGTGATTAAAATTCTAGTCAGTTTACATTGAATTGAAAGGCGTTAATCCTCTAATAGATCATGGCGTGTAAAAACAATTTCAATCGTGTCCCGAGGCGATTCATATCCCAGTTCGATAACGAATGTGATTTTGTAACGAGACACTTTTACAATACTGCGTGTTACTGGCGCGTGGCGAGCCGCACACCACTTGCTCGTCTCCGGGAAAGGCGCGAATTATCGATTAACGGCGACGAGAGGGGAAAAGCTCGTCTTCGTACGCATCCAGGAAAGCGTTCGTGGAACAGCTTCGTTGCTCCCGCCATTATTGTTAAGGTTAACGAATGGTAATCATTGATATGTGTGAATCGAAACTTGTACAGTTGTTGCTATAAATATATGAAATTAGTGTTTTACACCATACTCATACTTACTCTCTCCGTTGATTGCTTCGATGAAGTGATTCTAACAATTCCCACAAATAACTATGTGTTTCGTGTTGTTATCTTTTGTTTATACCTATATTCCGTGTTTCGAAGCATTATATATACAAAAAATAATATGAATGAGATATATTGCACGTGTGGTTTTAAATATTATACTAAATATTGTAGAGATGATGACTTTCTTAGTGAAATTAAGATTTGTTCGGGTGAAGAAAATTGTCCAGAAAATTTCAAGTACACATTTATTGAAAATTATAATTAAATTAGTTCTCGTCTTAAATCGTTGGTTACATCGTTGCTGCTGGTCATAGATTCGGATAGATTTTTTTATTTTTTATTTATTTTTATCAATTTATATATCTCATCTCTGCGGATATCCGCTGTAAATTAATGTCAGGTTAATCAATTATTACGCTATAATCTCTGATGGTAAGATCTGTGAGAAAATAGTACTTGTTCATAGAGTTTTCTCTTCGTTCGTCATTGCTCGCTCCTTACGTGTCGTGAAACAGTGAAAGAGCCAAGCATTTTCATACAATGCATTCTGTTTCACAGGCCCATAAGAGAGAGAGAGAGAAACACAAAAAGATTATTACTTAAACTCCTACACTTAATTCTAAAGCAGCGATAAGATTGAAAATGCTGAACTGAGCAAAAATTTCAGTGATATAAAAAATCTGGGTGATAATTTTTCTTCGTCAATAGAGCGCAAAGTATATTTTTTACTCACTGAAAATATCTCCGTCTTCACTCAGCTTCCTGTATCATATTTATTGTAAGTTTTAATTACGAGATATACTTATCCTTGTTTATTAAGTTTTATAGCGTTCCTTTCAATCTGACATTTTGGCGGATCGATTTCGCAGTCGTGTAATCTCCAATTTCCTAATAAAAAAATTAAAAAAAAAAAAAAAGTAACACAAAAGTTTCGTAAGGATTCGTCGTCAAGATTATCGTCATCAGATCGTTTGCGCGCAGCGTCGTCATCGAGGATCGTCCAAGCTGCTCGGAACAGTTTGTCAAACAGTATGACGTAAATAAGTCACTTTAAGTTTTGAGAAATTTCGCGAAATAATCTTTTGCAGCAACTCGTGCAAACCGTCGTGACGATCGAGCGAAGATGAGTTGTGAGACTGCAAGAATAAGCCCACATGCTGCCAATAACTTGCAATACATTGAGATAAAAAGTGTTACTTCAATAATAAAACGGAAAAAATCTTTTTTTCTTAAAATACGAAGTTTTAAAGCTATAAAGAAAACAAGCGTTTCTTTCAACATTCAAAATTGCGTACATTTTAAAGCAAGGTGATTGAGATTATCGAAGTAGCACGTTTAAATCTGCACCTTGATTCGTATTACGACTAAACAGATTATCTCGGTTAGTTCAATAATTAATTTATTCGTAACACGATCAACACGCGATTTCATATCGCAGCGAATTATCAACAGTCTGTGGCGGCTTATCGGTGCACGATCGATCTCTATCATTCGCTATGGCGCCATTCGCAATAATGAAAAGTGTACGTATTTTATCGAACATTATCGAATCGTCGTCGTAAGTTAGGAAAGGAGAAATCGAAATTTTCCCGGAGCAGCGCGTTCGTCTGTCGTCGGATACACAGTCAGAGACGCCTCTGTGTATAGATGTATTTACATGAAATATTATAAGACTGGATATCGAAGGTATGCTCCTCGAGCGGTGATGGGATTCGCTAGAATTAATTTAGGCCATTGTGAGGGTGCCCGCGCCTATTCCGAAACCCACGCCCTTAGGCCCGAAGTTCCGGCTGTAGCAACTGCGACAGTAGATGTCCCCGTCCGGGCCATCGTTGAGATTCGTCGAGTCCAGAGAACGGTGGCACTCGCCGCAGCTGAAACATCTTTTGTGCCATACGCGGTTCTTCGAGATCATCTGCTCGGCGGCGTACACCGGATAGCCGCAGCGTGAGCAACCGTGTCCGTCGTTCCGTTTCTGGCCAACTTGAGGCTTGGAGTCGATGCTGGAAAGGCAAAAGAGAACGTTTCGTACGATAATCTAATAAATTTATAGAAAAATTAAAAACTTATCTGATTTGCGTCGAGAGATCTAGTTTTAAAGCAATTATTCAGGTATTAGAGACATTAAGTTTTGATCAGATATGCGCGTTGATTGATATTGCGCTTTGTAAAGACGTTATCAATCGCAAAAGTTTCCTCGAAACTTAAGCAAACTTTAGATTTTTAGATGCGCAGGAAACTTTCTCGAGAACTGTTGTTGCGTACTTACTATGATGGGGCGTGATCTCCATTCGTCGAGACGAGAGTCGGCGCATGGCCGAAGCCGAAACCTTTAGGCCCGAAGAGCTTCTGGTAGCACGAACGGCAGTGGATTTCCTTGTCGGGACCGTCGCATGCCAGCATGGAGTCCAAGGGTCGGTGACACTCGGCACAATTGAAACACTTCTTGTGCCACATGGTGCCCTTGGCGAGCTGTTGTTCCGCGGCAAATACCATACCGCCGCAACGAGGGCAACCCTGTCCAGCTGGCGCCTTAATCGAGGTCGTATCAGGATTGTAGTAAGGTCGGCTGGCCGAAATTTCATCCTCCCTGAGGGTAATTTTAACATTAGGTTCTGATCAGACTAGCTTAAGATTTATTTGATTTATAAGATTTAACATTGTTTTTATTTAAAAAAATTAAATTACTTTGCAATATTTATACACTATATAATATAGTTCTCCGCAAGAAAAAAATAATCAGATGTGTTAAGTCCGCTAAGTCATAAAATTATTCGAAATCCTCGCGAGTCTTCCGTTCAACTCGCATTTATAGAGGCAGACCTCGGTTATGTAAATCGAGAGTGTATTTATAGATACGCGCGCGTGTAACAGGGTTAGCAAGTTCTAGATTCCGTTCCACGAGACTTACGTGAGCCCGTCGGTCTGGAGGAATCCCGAGCCACATGCGAATCCGTATCCGTGCGGTCCCCACTTCTTTCCGTAACAAGTCTTGCAGTAAACGTCCCGGTCCGGACCGTCGCAGGCGATGATCGAATCCAAGGTTTTGGTGCAATCATGACACTTGTAGCACTTCCGGTGCCATTCGCGTCCCTTAGCGAGCACCTGCTCGGCGGCGAAGACGACGCCACCACAGCGGGGACAGCCCTTGCCAGGCGGGGCTTTGATAATCGCGGTGTCGATCACGGTGGTACGAGGAGCCGCATCGCTGTGTAAAATTATTATTTGCGTTATTGTTCTATCTATGTTCGGCTAATAACGTGTAGAAATTAGGAAAGAGCGATTGTAAGACTTATCTGTCTGATATCTCAAAGTAAATTCAAAACAATTAAGAAAAAAATGGAAAATATTTTTTAAAAAAATATTGTCAAAACATTAAATTTTTAATCAACAAAATATAATTAATATTATTTATTTCAGGTTGCATCGCTTTTCCTATTTTTACAGTTCGTGCAGTTACAAAAGGATAAAATTGCATGCAAATGATATAAAGGGTAACTTATCTTTGACATAAAAAAAAAAAATATATTTATTGTACTTCTATAAACACATGTGATATAATGATACTATGATAACTAGTTGCAAAGGGTGTTAGTGACGAGTTGAATTCTTTTGACATGAATTTCAGATTTGGTTTCGATCGTAATAAGTGCATGCACAAGACCGTACAGACCGTGTGGCAACAGGAATGTATGTGGACGAGTTTCAGACAACTATAAACGTGAGTATTCCTTAAAACAAGTTTCTCTGAGTCGTGATCGCCATTCTCGAAATCACACTCGATATTCCGATACAATCGTGATGCCGATTCGTGATGCCAAGGTGAGTAATAGCGCAAAGCGTTAAGGCGTCGGTCTATATATGTATATATATATGTGTATGTAAATATATACTGTATGTACACGGACACACACAGACGCACGCGTGGACAGAGTGTCCCAGAAGACGCGTTTCAGTGACCAGTTTTTCCTTAGAAGAGGAAAGCTGTCACTGATCGCGCTGCTCTTTTATTCTTTTATTTTCATAGGGCACCCTGTTTACGCGCGCGAAATGATCGTGATCATAATTAAGAGGGCGCGTACCCCTCGTCCTCAATATCGCACTGCAGCCCGATCCACACAACCCCGGCGTGGCCGACACCCCGCGGACCGAATTTCTTCGGATAGCAAGCTGTTAAGCAGACAAGCGCATCATATATAGTGAAAGTGTAGAAGACGAGGCGGGATTTTTCTCTCGCGCGTGCTTCCCGTCTCAGTCCCGACTCTGAAAACCCACCCATTGGCGTAGCAGTCGCTCTGCAGGGCGCCGCCACCCTGGCCATAGCCATAACCCTTCGGTCCGAACTTCTTTCCGTAGCATACTGCAGACAATATCGATTAAAGATTTCACGTCGCCTAACAGTATGTCGTGGTGATTGTCTGCGACGAAGACGCAATTGTTCAGATACGCCGATTTTGGTGAAAGTTGGGTTTTTTTGTTGTCACTTGTATGATATCGATATACGTTTTTAGAATTACTGAAGTAAAAACGCATCGTCTTTCTTCTTCTCTACGTTCAAAATAATTTAATAATTACTTATATTTATATATCATATTCTAAATTGAGAGAGAGTTTATATCGCGCGTTTCGGATATTTTCTATGTTGCATCTTCGTGCGCATCTTCGATCGTACCGTGTCCTTACCTTTGCAATAGATGTCCTTGTCAGGACCTTCGCAGCAGTTGACGGAATCTAACCTTTTGGAGCAGTTGGCACACTTAAAGCATTCCCTGTGCCATTGCTGCACGAAACACAAAGGGAAGGGTTAGTCACCGGAATCCGGAAGAAAGTGCTATTTGACGATTGCGCAATATTGCAGTATTGCTTTTTCATTCATACAATCGTTCAGGAGCGCAGATGTTAAAGACTCCTTGAAGAGAGTCCGCCAGATTTAATCTAAAGTTCCTCAACAGCTCCGACACATATAATATTTGTGCGAAACCTTAATCTACAAAAACATCGAAATATTTACATATCTTCCCTACTCATGTCGTCAAAGTTGTCGAACCGAATGCGATTCTTTCTTTCGCTGCGGCGATTTGCAGCCCTTGGTGCTCGGGGGCTGTATCCTGGCGGCGCGGGAAGAATTAAAAACTGATTTTAGTGATAAACACAAGAACGAACGAGACGGAAACGGACGTAGATAAATAGAAACAAATAGATGTAGACGTTTCTCGGGTGATTGTGATCGTTCAACGTATCAGAACACAAAGTTGTGAGTACGGATATCTGTGACACAAATCGAATAAGTATATGAAAGGATCGGTGGGGCTATTTAGGGAAAGAGAAAGTAGATTCTTTTCAGACGAGAAAGAGATACCTCGACAATATATCTCGCGGTCGGGACCATCGCAATGAAGCGTCGAGTCCAGAGTCCGACGACACAATTTGCACTTGAAGCACTGTTTATGGTAAGCCTAATCACAAGAATGACCAACTAATTGACCAGCTAACCGTCCTAAATCCGACAAGTCGCTTATCGATATATCGTGATTGATGTTCTTGGTGCTACGACGAATCGAGTCTGTAGTCTTCGACTTTTCGAATATTACGCGCGTGTAAGAAAAGCGTATTTTTATTCATGCAAAGAAACGAACAATAATTACGCAATTGAATTTGTTCGCGCTAAAGAGAGCTCTCAACGATCCATGCATCGATGATGAATCATGCGCAAAGAAGATTAGTTGCCGTCGCAATTTTCATGCGCAGATTATCGCGCTGGACCAGATTGTCGGCCGGCAATTAGCCTCCATTTCTCTGGTTGCAAGCGGCGTTTCTTCTGGTAGCGAGCCATTTTATCGTCGGGTATCGGGCCGACTAAGATTGGCCAACCAGTTGGTGTGCCGCCAAAGTCGTTTTCTGACGAAATCGCCGAGAAAGTTTCTGGGCTTAGCACCAAGAGAAGACTAAGTCCTCTTTTTCCTCTTTTCCTCTCTCTCTCTCTCTCTCTCTCTCTCTCTCTCTCTCAGTCTTTTTCTTTCTAGCTCATATTTACTTCGCTTTCTTCCCTATTTTTTTCTTTGCATTGTTGTGAAATAAAAGTTGGATAAGATTACGCGCGAGACACGGCCCATTATCGCACGGCCGAATTTAGACGCGCGGCAAAAGAGGCGCGGCTTTTGCCACACAGCTGTTTTGTAACCCGCGACGCATTTTTGTAATCCGCGGACGCGCGCGATCCGTCCAGATTTTCCGAAATACGCGTGAGTAAGCGCGACGAAGAGGACGCCGATTGCGTCAATCTGTCTGTCGCCGCGTCAGCGGTCGATTTTATTGCTCTGCGTGCTAAATCGCGCCCGCACCCTCGCGCTCCGTGTCGCCGCGTCTGTCGAAATATCCGCGGTCCGAATTCGAGGCCGACCCACCCACAAGTATCTATTGCACGTTTTGAATAATAAGACCGCAACTCGAAGAGTACACAAGACTATTTGTAACTCTCGCCAGTCTAAAAAATATCAAATTCAAATCAGTTCCCGAAATAAAATCTTAAATTTTTACAAGTTTTATGTGTATGTATGCAGAAATACTGCAGAATAATTTTAAAACACTGTTGTTCTCTAAAATTCGGTAATAAACAATCAGTCGAAGCACCAAGATAACGCGAGAAATTTATCACTGTGCGTTTAACGCTAAATGCAGCTGTATATAATTACGACACTATTACAACTTAGAAAAAGTAAATGATAATAATTACATTTAAAGAAAAAGATGTGAAATGACTATTGTTTTTTTCTAATTGATTGCCGCATTTAGTGTTAAATAATGCGGCACGCAACGTACTCTTGCGTTTTAAACGAACTCACCCTTCCACGGGCCAACATCTGCTCGGCGGCATACACGTATCCTCCGCAGCGAGGACATCCTTCTCCTTCAGGTGCTTTTGCTATTGCTCGCGGTTCGAGGATGGCGTTAGAACCCCGTGACAATTCGCCCCTAAAAATTCGCATATGTTGAAGTTCATCGTAAATCAATAAAAGTGTCAAATAAATGCGATCACACAAATAGCCGAAAAGTATTTTAATCACTACACGTGAAAAATCAGCTTAAGCAAGTTAAAATTCAGACAAAATTGAAATTCTACGTACAAGAGAAGTTTTAAGTATAGTGAAAACATAAAAATAATTATTAAAATACATACACGCGAATTCGTGAATTCCACATTTGAATTGCTAATCTATGCAAACACACAACACTATTAAGCTCAGAAAATATTACACTCCAGCATACAAGATCAAGTGTTTTAAACAATTAAAGACAAATTGCAAGAAAGAAGTAACGTGTTTCCAAAGGCGAGTTTTCTATATTAATATATTACAATTAAAAGAGAAAAAAATTTTCTCACAAAGATAAAAAAGAAAGCTTCTTATGTAAATAGTTAATTCCTTCTTGCATAATATGTTCGACTTCCGTACGAAGAAACCTTCGTCGTATGTGACGAGTTGGAAGATAACATAAATATAAATACATCAAATAATATCATCACGGGGTTAGCGTGTTAGGAGTGTTAGTAAAGTGTTAGCATAACTTTTCCCCTTCGCAACCACGGCACGTGGCTTCCGCCGAGCCCCGAGAGAAGAGAGCCGAGAAGCAGATTGCACGTAAAATAACGGCATAATATAATCGAAAACTCGGTATTAACAAAGAGTTGCAGAAAAGAGAAACAGGAAGAGATAAATGGAAAAATAGAGTCAGAGGAAAGAGAAAAAGAAAGAAAGAGAGAAAAAGAGAAAGAGAGAGAGTGAGAGTGAGGGTACAGAAAAGTGTCGGGTACCGTGTGGAGAGCCTGTGCGTGTACAGGCACGCATCCGTACCGTGAGGTGGAATATCATCGACACAGTGAGGTGACACCGATCATGCTGTCTTCCTTGTAGCTCGACAATTGCGCCGCTGAGATGGGTTTTAAATTACGGCATAGTGAGGACGTACGTACATACATACAATACAATGAAAAAGAGGGAGAGCACGAATGCAGCAGGTGCACATGCACTTATCATGATTGGTTGTTGGGTTTGTTCTGACGATTCAGAACAATTCAAAAACAAGCACAGTGTGCCTGATAACTGTGTGTTAAACAAACATTATGTATGTAAAAAAAATCTCGATTAAAGCGTTAAGATATTGATTATTGACGTATGGAGCTTTTATGCGCGAGTTCTTTGCTAAATTGAATTCAATCTTTTTTCTCAGTAAATATTTAATTGACCATTAACTTTTGCTAATTTTCAGAATGTTTGCTAAAGACTCTTGTTAATTACATTATTTTAATAAAAGTAACACACTTAATGACAAGAGAACAAAAGTGTATCTGCGTCAGAGTGAACCCGCTGCACTCTACAAAGGTAAGAATGGGACCAACAAGTGTCAAGGTTCATCTCAATGACGAAGTACGCATTGTCTTACTAACAGAACGGACGTCGTTACCTCATTGTATCAGAGTGTGCGAATAATACAAATACTAAACACGCACGCGGGCACGCACGCACGTACACGCACGTACACGCACGCACGCGCCAGCACCCACGCAATAGTTAAGGTGTTAGCGAGATTATAGGATTAGAAGTGGTGCGAGAGAGCTGCCACATGCAGGAGATCTACGTGTATGTATATATATATATATGTATGTATATATATATATATAAAAGCTACAAAAAAGAAAAAGAAGCGTTGCTTCGTCACGCGGCAAAAAAGTAAAAAAAAAAAGAAGAGAGAGAAAGACAGAGCAAGAGACAGCGAGATAGAGAGAAAGAGAGAGACAGAGGCGCAATTTGACTCGATGCTCACCATTCTCGTACTCGGTATTTTTCTCTTTATCACGCAGCTCGTACTATGTGATAAAGTGACAATGGTATATCGTTCAATGGTTGCCTCCGGTTGGCTCGTGCTCGGCGGGGCTGGCGGGAGCGGGGTGTGTCGTGTATTGTTTTTCTTTTTTCTTATTTTTGTTTCTCTTAGTTTTTCTTTTTTGCTTTTCGCTTTCGTACACTTCGCTCCCTTTCTCGGCGAGAGGGCCTGAAGAGAGGGGATCGAAGAGCCGAGGATGCGGGTTTTGTACGCAAAGGCTCGGTTGATGTCACAGATAGAGAGAAGATGCGCGTAATAATGTCGCACGCGCTTTTTTGATTGGTGCACACTATTTTTGTGTTCGCGCAAATGGAATCGTAAGTGGTTCTAGTCACGGTTACAAATTGGAAGTTAAATTAATAATCTCTTGATCGATGAAGCTTTGAATATCGAGGCTACGTGCAAAAAAACAGTGGCTCTTTTTTGCGGTGATTAAGTTCTGCTTATAAAAAATTTCTATATTATTAAAATTTAAAAAAGAATTCATCTGCATGTGTAACTCTGATCTAGGTGAACACCGCGATTCCATTTTGCATCTTTTAAAGATAACATACGTTATTTATACATTGATCTATCTACAAACACTAAAAGGTAAGGGAAAAACAAGTGTTATTCGTTAATAAAAGACACCACTTGGTTGTTTTGTTTTCAATTTTATATCTTTCCCTTTTTTCCATTTTTAATGGCATTTATTACAGATGGTACAAATGATCCTACAAACTAAGCGCATGTATTCGCATAGAAGAAGAAGAAAAAGAAGAAGAAGAAATACAGAAAAATGAAAAAAGAAAGAAAGAGAGAGAGAGAGAGAGAGAGAGAGAGAGAGAGAGAGAGAGAAAGAGAGAGAGAGATAACAATTCGGTCGGTCGGAAAGACAATAAGAGGAACAAGAATCTAGACAAAGAAAATGGAACGAAAAGGATTGGACCTGACTAGATCGAACATTGTGCGCGATAGCACAACGATGAGAACATGAGGAAAAACAAGGACGAATCTCTCAAAATGAGCAGAGAGACGAGAGATGACGTGCTCGCTCGGGCTACTCTGATGATAGACTTCTTCTGAACGATGAGAATAGAGCAATTTGATCCCGAGGGATCATCTAGATTCATCTATCGGGACACAAAGAACTGGATCTAAACATTTCGCAAGGAAGAAAAACTAGATTGGAGATTCTTCTGTTCGTGACGTATATCCGAAGTTCAGACTAGGAAGGACAAAGAAAGGAAAACGCGGTGGTTCACTGTACAAGTATACACAAGTGCATACTCCCCGATTTTTTGGCACGGCTGCGCGTAGGCAGCGACTTCTTTCTTGAGTTGCTAGAGGCGCGATTGACTGAGAAGACAATCATGCTGACAGAGTCATGGATGAAGTCAACGACGGTTTATCGGTCGATGATTTTTTTCAATTTCGCGCACATAAGAAGGTATGTTTACAGTGGAGGACAACAAGATCGAAAATGTTTTTGATGTTGAAACCGCGTCAGAATACAATACTATCTTAGGAATATATAAGGAGAAAAGAAAAGATTGTCGAAGGGTATGTCGAGGTTGCGCGACGGCAGATGCACTCACTCGCTCTTCGCTTGAAGATGCTCGCCTTGGTCCATAGACAGGCAGCCAGCTCCGCCACCGAAGCCGTAACCCTTAGGGCCGAATTTGCGGCCGTGGCAGACTTTGCAGAACAGCTCGCCCTCGTGCTCGGAGCAGTTTGTCGAGTCGAGCAGTTTGCCGCAAAGACCTGCAACACATGGTCGTTGCCCGTCGTTGGAGATTACGCCGCTTCCTGGATGTTACACTCAAGTTGTCCGATACAAACTACCGGTTTAACTTTTCATAAAGTAAATTGATCGCGACGAGAGAAAATGCGAGGCGATAAATAAAAATTTAAGCGTGAGTGGCTATTATGGATATTATGTATGAATATAACTTTTCAGAATAAATTTTGATCAAAATATATATACCGATATCGATTTTTACCGTTGTTTTTCTTTTCTTTCAAAAGGAGAAAAACAAGAAAAAGACAATAAAAGTCGGAATCAATCTCGAAAAAAAGTTACATAATTATCCTAACTCGAATATCGCCAAATGACACTTGAATAATTCTTTACTCCACAATAGAAGTTTTTAGGAAGAAATACTCTGTGTGTGTCGAAAGTCTGCAAGAAAATGTTCACGCTGATTGTCACGTCGGTCGTTGCACTCAAAGTTTTTACCAAACAACTATCCAATTTGTTTTTGGCTAACACGCAGGCTGGTTGCGACAAATTATCCGAGTACGAAATTCATTTTAGACTAGTCTAAAAATAGGACAGATTTGATTGTCTTCTGACAGTAAAAGTATTTAATAAAAACAGCGTGAGTGTACGCTGTTAAATTTGTGAAAAATAAAAAATAATCTCAACAATAATGTTAAAAGTATACAGAATTTTGTCGTATTCTTATATCAATCAGTTTTATCACACAAATTAAAAAAAAATCAAGCATTTCAAAAAATTCTAATTCTAAACTTGAAGTGTCTGGTTAAAACCAAAATTATGGTTTTTTTTTATTTTACTCACCGCATTTAAAGCACATTTTGTGCCATTTCAGTCCACCGGCAACCCGTTCTTCCGCGGCATAAACGGATTTGCCACATTTCGGGCATTTTGGATGTTCTACTGGCTTGAAAGGCATTTTTATACTGCAACAAAAAAAACAAATTTTTTTGTAAATGGAGCTATTCTAACAGTTTCTGTGAAGTGAAAATCTACGAAAGCAAAATCAAATTGTAACGTTTTTATTATTAATAACGAGGAGGAATCATCGCCGGTACGGTAACCCATCTCGATTACCTAACTGGCCGCTCACGAGAACGTAAACAATCCGTGTTTCCGTCTGACTCGTCGGCAACCGGTTCTATTTCTGTGACCAGCTTAAAGCGTGCGCACGATTGAGCAAGTGGAAGGACGGACGTTATAGAAAGGAGGAAGAAAAGTATACCGCGTGCGCGGAGAACGTCGAACAAATTTACTATAGCCAGCATAAATAGAAGCTATGATTTCTCAGGCTTTATACGTGTGTTTGTGTGTAAAATCGCGATAAAATATGCTTGTCTTTTCGCATATATATCTCATAATTTTCAAGATCGAGTTTCGTATTCTCACGTTTCTTCTTTTGTATCATAATAGCTTATTTTACATCAAGAATATATCTTAAACTTATTCTAGCATTGTACTTTTTACATTATCATATTCTGAATGTTGCAAATTCTTATGAATAATTAAACATATAGAGATTTAAGCCGTTAAAATAAAATATTCCTAACAGTCAATAAAATTTTTGTCATTTAATAAATCGTCATGACTAAGTGTCTACAGAATGTTTCTTTCCCTTCCAAAAAACCGCGATTTTTAATTTATATTCTCCATAATTTATGTTGTATATTCCGCCAGAGCGCGATTAACACGCGTTTTGTTACCACTGACAGTAGTAACGGGCGGCAATGGTGTGGCGCTAGTAGTAGTAGCGGCGGTAATAGCGGCCAGTAGTAACAGGCGGTGTGCGCGGGGCAAGTAGAAAGAGAAAAAGAGAGAGAGAGAGTGGCGGAGTCTATATCCGTGCAGACGCGTACGGGCGAGCTGCGAGGCCGTATTAGGGAAGGCGCTAGGTTCTCCACGGTGTATGTAGCGGAGACTTCTCGTTTACCCCTACTGTTCGTTCAATCGTACACATATTCGTAGACGTATGGAATGCGCGGTAACCCAACTCGCACGTCCTGCGAGGCTGCAAAGTGCCCCTGCACGTTATTAAGTTACATACGCGTAAAAATTAAAAAAATTTCAGAGGTCCCACATTAATCCGAAATATCTCTGTGCGACTTACTTGGCAGCAAATGGTCTGTTATAGAAATTTAGAAAGTTTAACATATGTAAAATTTATTTAAACACATACATAAAAAATTTATATGTATTATTATTAAAAGCGTGGGATGTATAGTCGGTCAGTGAACTGCAATATTTGTTATTTCTAACAGTTTTAAGTGTCTGTATTAGATTAATGAAAGTGAATCATGAATCGAGATATACGCAATATGCCTATAAAAGCTATAATTAAAATGGAAGTTAAATAATGATGGCCAAGAATCAACAATTGTAGTATACAATGTGGTAAGTGTTGGCAATAATAAACATGTGAATCATCGACCTGGCAATTATCAGAAACATTCATTTCATTTTGTAAGATACTTGAACTTCATGTTTACAGCAATGAGAGTATTTTGCCAAGTAAGAGTGTAATCACCGCACAATGCAACAAATATATTTATGTTGTAAACACATTAATAATTTTTAATTATATCAATGTAATTATTTTGTAATATATTTTGCTGTACGCAAGGAAGAAAATAAAATTTATATTATTTTGCGTCTATCCTTTTAATTAGATTTTAGAAAACAGACGATATTTTACAACTATGTAGAGAAATTTATCGTAATCAAGACAAATAATATTTTCTAATATAAGATGATTTAATTTGGTTTTTGCGAATATCTGGCAATATTATCACAGCATCGCGTTTCTCAAGTTTCAAATTGGCCTCATAAATCAAATTTGGATAGCATAAGCAAGCACATGTGACGAAGCTAAGATCCTAAAATTAGATTATAACTATAAAGAAATCCTAGCGTTCGATGATTTGTGCGATGTGTAATTGCAAAGTTTGATATAGTAAAATATTTTATATGTAATATGATATCTCGTAAGTGGATCTCTACATGAGTAGAGAAACTGAAATATCATCAGGCACAAATCAAAACTTATCTTACTTAAAATATAATCAAATTTGCTAGACATAATATTGTTTTGAATTATCTACCGAAATTATACACAGAAGAAATTAGATTTTTTCTTCGATCCTAACAGATTAACGACATTTACAATATATCTTTGAGCATTTCAAACTCTTTATCACATTTACCAAATAAATAATTAAACAACAGCCTTTTAATGCGTTCATCTGAAAATCCTTGTTTTCATCCATAGTATAATTCGGCTAATAGTATCACGATTTTACGAAATAAGCATTCCAATTGCTCAATTAATCACATGTGATGATATTTCGTATTCAATTTATTCGATAACGTAATTTGATTAGAGCCGTCAGTTGAGCGAGAGACTGAGTTTCACTAACTATAAATAATAGCGGGAAGGGAGAACGTATGCACGTATGTATTTTTAAAAGTAAACGAGGCTACACACACACACACACACGCGCGCAGTAACGCCGAGATGTGTATATATATATATACATATATATATATATATATATATATATATATATATATATGCGTGATAATAATAACTTTTACAATAAGTAATTCTCTTAGGTTTGTCTTGTTCGTTAACTTCAAAATTTTATTTTTAGTTTATTGCAGAAGTTTTTGCACACATTATTCACAATTTCTTTTGTACAAACAGATCGACATGCAACTCGGCTTATCAATTGTATTAATACTTCGAGTTTCTAATTATAACGTAAGTAGAATTCGCGTGTTCAGTGATCGCGATTCTATTTTGATATCTTCGAGATTAAACCTTAAAGACATTAGATTTCCGATCATACTATATATACGTCTATCCTAGACAACATAGACATTATTTATTCTGTTCAGTTATAATATCACGGCTTGCGTCAATTAACGCTAAATCCTGTTTGACTAAAGTACTCTTCTATTTTCGTCTACATTATTAAGTACTATCATAAAATATCTCGTTACGAACTCGGAATTGATATATTTTCGAAGTTCTTTAAAACATCAAACTATATCGTTAAAAAAGCAAAAGTTCATGATGACAAATCGTGTACGTTACTTTTACGATATCGTCACTGTGTGTATTCGGTCGCAAACTGATCTTTATAAAAACTTATGAAAATGTTATCAGCATTGTAAAAAATTCACTCAAGTAGCTGACGCACGTGCGTCCAAAGACTCGATGAATACCTTTCACGGCACCACGTAAATACCTCACGAGAAGAAGAAAATATTCGAGGAAGACAGGTAAATCACGCTTGCGATGATCTTACGTGCACTTCTTTGATATGAATAACGACGCCGCGCATCAATATCGGTATTCGAACATCATCGGTCGAACGTGAATAAGCAATAGAGCAGTAAGAGCGGTAGTAGAACGTAAGTATAGTCGAACGCACTGTGTTATCTGAGTACTCACCACTAATCGATCGTAGTCGCGCGAAACAAAAACCAGACGAAGAGGCAGGCGGAGGGAAAGAGAGATGAGATTTCGATAAGTGGATTATAAAACACCGAGCACTCTACACCGCACTAATACTGGATTCGAATGACTGTGCTCGCGTCGGGATCGTCCTAGTCATAGCCGCCCAAGCTTTGCACACGGCACGTGTGCATCGGGAACGTCAGTGCTGTTGACGACGACGACGACGACGACGACGCTGCGCCGCCGGTGGCGGTGGATGTCGAAAAGGCAGCGAAGGTTCTTCGTTCTGAAAAGATGAAAGGAGTCAGGTCGAGGAACTATAGATAAAAAAATTACTTGTTTGTGTAAGGAAACAAAGTCAAATTCTCTATGGAGTAATATCGCGCCATTGATCTTTTACGAGCTCGTCGCACTTTGGCTGAAGTGATTTTCGGTGGTAAAGTGCTCTTATCAATTCAATTCTCTTGACTGCCATCTAGTCTTGTCGATATCGATTTATTATCAGTGTCTTAGAATCTTACTCATTAATGAATCCCTAATTATTAATGAACTTTTCTTACAATTATATTATATTTAAAACATGTTATTGCATTTTTCTCTTTCTCTTTTTCTTTCTTTTTTTTACTGTTATTATATTTTATTATGATGTTTTCTTTAGATTTAAAAAATATTTAATAAAGTTAAATTTTTACAGAATAATTACGAAGAAATTGATGCTGCACAAATACAAGACGAAAACCAACGTAAAAAACATACATTTTCTGGAGTAAATACCTACATCTCGAAACTAAAAGTTCTCTAGTTTTTTCTGAATGAAAAATATACAAGTTCCGCACCATGCTCAAATAGAGACATTTATTCATGATGTGTTCCAGGATGACATTGGTTATTTGTCTTGCAAAATGTATGCGAAAGTCGAAAAATATAGTACGATGATGCATCGTAGAATATCTCAATAGCTTGCATACACACACATATGTGTTATGTATATATGTATATATATTTCCAAACTCTTGACACATACCAAACATGATCTGTCGACAAAAAGAAGCAAGAGAAGTGCCTCGCAGTCTAGCGGGTGACATTTACGCAAACAAACGCATGGCAGATTACTGTTACGTGATATTTGTCTGCGACAATAATAAAATTGAATCATTCTGATATTATTATCTCTATTGGATAATATCCAATAATTAGATATTTCCATAAGATCGATCTTACAGAAGAAAGTAAATCATAAAAGTATAATCTCTTCTTCTTTTCTTCTCTCTTTTTCTTTCTCTTTCTTTTTGAACAATAATTAATGAATAGAATAATGTTTGTAACAAAATTAAAAACTTCACATTTCTTTCAATTTATTATTTTATTTATTAGCATCAGATAAATATTAAAATTAAGTAACAATAAAAAAAGTAAAAGATTTTGAAACTTTACGTATCATCAAATTTTCAGAAAATTATGAAATTTCCACGATTTTGAAGTAAATTTTGGTCTTTATGGCTACCACGTGTTAAGATGTGATAGAAAGTGTCCTAAACATTGATAATAGTAGACTATTTTAAAAATGGGATATTCTATATGATGAGACGTGTATAGGTAAATGTCCACAAAGAAACATATGCGTTTGATCCATTTTGAAACATGTAAATCTCCGCGGAGTCACGACGGAAAGTTCTGTTCGTCCCCTCTCCCAAAAGAATTACAGTCGTGACGGAAAATAAAAATACATTGAAGACGGTAGACACAAAGAATTCCGAAGGGTGTCCGCCGTTAGTGAAACATAGTAGAAATATGCGGGGCTGTCTTTTGCAGGAACGCCTCCCACGTACATATGCTTGATTTTTTTCTACGAATATCCTCATCTTGTAGATATAATTTTAGCAAGAGTTTAATACTCCAGCGATCGAATTTCATAAGATTTCGTTGATGAAAGCGATCATCGTTAATGCAGTGAAAAATCTCAAGCTCGAATGAAAAAAACTAAAAAGCGATAATATTTAGCTTTATTATTGCGTATCCACGGTATATTAATTAAATATTTTATTCATAAAAACTAGTTTTATTGTTTTATTTATGAGAATTATTATATAAAACATTTTTTTTTGTTTGTTGAAAGCGGAATGATCTGTTTGCTGATAAGTTTACTAATCGTGACAAATCGTAATATTTGTTGTAATTCACCGTGGCCGCAGAATTTCGTGCCGGCCTGCTGCTATTTCTCGCATGTTTTCCGCGTGCTCGCGAGAGCAGCATCCTCGTCTCCTCGGTCGCGGGATTCCTCGTTTTTGACGAGAGTGGCGAAGAGAGAACGTGGGCGGTTGAGTGGTGACTCTCGCGAGGGGAGGAACCCGCACTCCTTCGCCTTTTCGTAACGAGGCATCGCGGTGAGCACCGCGGCTGCACACACTCATCGTCTAATAATAATATCTTGCTCAAATTTCTATTTTTAGGGAAGATATACGTGTGCGCACACATGTTCCTATGTAAAAGACCCAAGTATATGGTTACGGGCCACGTTTTACGGTTATGAAAACGACGACGGTCCAGAATTATTATATATCGGCCCATCGTCACAAGGATTTGTAATACCCGCTGCGCGTTTGACAATGTAACCGCCGGTCAGATATGTATTTCACCCAATTCTGTTTCTCTGTGAATCGACAAAGTCGAAAAAGTATACATTCGCGTAAAGAGGAGAAAAAAGATAATCTCAGTCTTTTGTTCAAATTTTGCTCATCAAGCGAAGCGGATTATAAATCACAACACGCGATATAGACGTAACAGACACGCATGATTTGGCATGAATAATGATTGTTCCGCTTATATATTACGTGAAGTTATTTGTCATCCACGAATTATAGCCATACGTCATATGTATAAGTTCGACAATGTATTTGTATGCGTTTTGAATGTCGGCGAGATAATACATATACTAAACACATATATCTAATAAAGATTTTATGGAACAAATGTCCACACAGAGATTATACACGAATCGTTTTGTATTACTGTTTTATGTGCATAGCGTGTTTCTGGATCGTCTATTACATAATCCTTTTTCGCGCATGCGAGAGGACGGGGGTGACGTGCGTATTTATGTAAAATGTACACGCGCGACGTGCTTTTAAAATAAACGCGCGCTTTCTCTCTTCATCGTCAAGTGCATTAAACTATCTCGCATTCTGGATTAACATTTTATACGTAAAATTTTTTCACTTCTTGTGTGTTATGCACTAGGACGTATATAGTTCGTAATTTTTAGTAGCAGATCTCTGAGTGAGAGAATATATATATTTTTTTAGAAATATTGTATAATTCTAGTTTCTTGTCTTATCTCTAAGTATTTAATATTATATAGTATTAAATAATTACTTTCAATACGCTCAATGAAATAATTTAATATTAAATTATTAAATTGTTATTCTAAAATACTTTAACACTATAAAAATATTAGAGAGAGTGGAACACAGACACAGATTTTCCACCTCTGCCGCGCTTCTCTATAAAGCGTTACGTTAAACCGCTCCTGTTATCTCGCTAACTTGAATTTACTCGCGTAGCAGGCGGTGGTCGTTATTCGCCAGGCTTGACAAGTTTACGCGCCGCGGACTATTTGCTCGCAAAAGTAAACTGCACTTCATGCTTGCCACGAAGTAGGATCGCGCGGACCTTTCGGCGGCGAAGCCGTTTTCCGGTTGTTCGCGATCTTCAGATCGACTTTGTCGAATCCGGCAATGTAAATCGCGCGCAATCGGGGTTGTAACCGCTCTATTTTTTTTTTTTTTTTTTTACAGAAAAGCCGTGCGCGCATTTATCGGCCTGAAAATAGAAATTTGAGCAAGATATTATTATTAGACGATGAGTGTTCTCGCGGTTCTCAATTCGGCTCGCCCGTTTGTTACCGAAGAGCCCGCGTCGAGGGAAGGCCGCCCATACTTCACGTTCTCCTCCACCCCCGTTCTCCTCCTTTAATCCATTAGCGCGTAAGGTCGTTTTCTCGTGGAAATATTCGCGTTTTCATTACGTCCTGTCTCTACGCAAGAATTTTGCGCTGAAAGTACGCGACAAAAACCAACTTCCGTCTTCTTTACTATCAATTTACATAAATAATTTCAAAGTATGACAATAATAAATTTATAATAAGATATACTTTTCTGTCTAAATAAAAAAAAATCTAGGTTAGAACTTTTTAAATTAAAAAAAAAGTTATGTACATTATGTCTACACATATTATTAAAAATAAATTATAGGTAATGATAACGGCTGCGACTATTGAAAGTTTAGACTATATCGTATGTATAAAATACACTTTAGAAATTCACAATAATAATAATATATTTCAACATACATTCGATTTATATCTGCGCTGGATCGAGATAAGGTCACATCATCTGTCACTCGAACAATGTTTCATGCGTATATTTAACGTAACATATATTCAACATAATTTATCATAAATAAATTGTATTATATATTATATGAATTAAACAAAACTATTTGAATGTGTATATATATTTATAACAAACGTATATATGAGTGTAAATTTGTGAAAGAAAAAAATTGTGTCAGTTATGAATTTACATGTGATTTTGAGTACACACAGAGAACACCTGGAGATCGTTTTCAGCAATGACGAATTCTGTGTCTACAGCGAATCTAAATTTCGAAACCTCTATTTTAGACGGACGATTAAAGGAAAATTCAACTGACGGTCGTGAACACTTTTGTTACAAATGATTAAAACTTAAAGATGGTTTACTTCTTATAAATAATATATCATTTTGAATAAGTTAAACGTTTTATATAAAATGATATCGCTAAAAGTTGTTATAGAAACCGAAAAAGTTAATTTAAACAATTGCTATTTAAATATATAAATAACTCTTTTATATGTACAAAATATATACACTAAAAAATATAAATCGTATGATGCAAAATTTATAAACTGTAGTGAAATACACAAAACATATAGTGTAAGATATTTTGTATATCTAAGTTTATTATTTTACGAAACAAATAATAATCGCTTTCTTTAAGAAAAAATGTTGACTTCTAATTATTTAAAGAACACGACAAATTTTATATCTCATTAATTAAATTCTGTACATTATACAACAAAACGATTGTGACATAGAGTAGGTATAGATAAGAGAAGAAGCGGAAAAAGTTGAAGATATAATCACCGCAGAAATTTCCGTTCGAGGAAGTTTCCAGATTTTGCGACATCGTTGTCGATGAAAATTAGATTAACTCCCTGTCTAATTTGAATCGATCATTTAAATTGAATTTCCTTCACGAGAAGTATTTTTGCGCATCGCGCAATCCTGAACTGAAATTGACTCTAAATCGAACGTGCTGCTGTGCATCTATTGTCACCTTGTTTGTCTTCTATTGTCTTGTAAAGAATCCATCTTTCTCTGGTTCGCTGCGACATTTAATCATATTCTCTCGCAAAATATTCTTTTTCTCTCTCTTTCTTGTTCACGCATTGTGCGAAATGTGCAGACAGATTTGAATGACTCATGAGCATTATTTTCGTGCTGTCGCTCGAAACGAAATAGTATATTTCTTTACAAACAAGTGCCAGTGTGAATCAAATCTACAACAAAGTTACGTTTAAGCTTTGTCCCAGATTTACATAAATACCGGATTTGTATTTTTTTATAATTTCTAGATGATTTATATTTATCTTCTATAATTTCTTTTAATTTATCTGATAATTTATCTACAAAATTGTTATTATATTAAGTTATTCTGTTTAAAAAAAATGTAATAACGTAATTGTAGTACATATATTTTGACTACATATATTTTGACACAACTTTCTGTTTTTATCTTTTCCAAAAAGGTTTCTACTTACTACATACACACAATAACAAAATTACAAAAAAACGACCAACCTTATCAATAGTTGATTTTATAATTATTTCACTTAAAACATCGATATATGATAACTTTACATAGTCGATAAATAACAACTTCAAGAGTACTATCTTTACTTACCGACTGCATTGTGTGGCTAGGTCAGAAAGAAGACTGAAAGCAGCTACGGCACCACTTTAGCATCAGAGCATACTCATCGACAAATTGCACGTGGCTATGTAGTTGCCAATGTGCACCACCCATGGACATTGCGCTGACTTACAGGTGGCGGAAAAACGATTCCCTTATAGGTCTAGCCGCTTTTAATCTTCTCTCTGACACGGCATTGGTCGCTTTCAGTTTTCAGATGTAATTGATATGTTGATTTGTATAACGTTCTGCGCGTTTTTTAGTCTAATTTCTTAAATATTCTAATTAGTTGGTTTTAATTATTTAGGACTTGAATCAGTTTAAACTTGTATATGAATATGTCAGTTCAGCAAACTTCAAAGGTAATTTAAGGTTGTCTTCTATGCTAAGGTTGTCATTAAAATGTTCTTTTTATAAAAGTTAAAAAATCTAATATATCATCAACTGTGTGTTGCAGATTGGAATAGAGATAGGAAAGACATTATATCGTGTACCAAAGCCATCTCGATGGAATAAAGGGATTGGTGCTGAATTGCCTCAAGAATATAAAAAATTTTGGAAAGAATGGAAATTACAGCAGCCTGCTGCAGTTCATTATATTGAGGAGAAAGGAAAATACAAAAGAAATGATGAAACTGAGGAAGTGTATGACACAAATTACCAATTCTTTCACATAACAAGTTTATGATCATTATTCAAATATATCTTGTGTTTATATAACTGTAGTTTCTGAATTAAGAAACACAATTTCTTCTCTATTACATTATTTAAAGTATAATGTGATTTTTAACAGCATACCGGTACAAAATGTACCATTGCCTCTGTTCTATACCAAGGAAATGGACCAGGGTATATGGGGAGGAGAAGCCATTGTGCAAGGTTTTCAAAAGAAGGGTAAATTCAAGAGAAGAGTTCCTCGATTTTGGATACCTACTCTGAAAAAATCTATTGTTTATAGCGAAGTTCTCAATGAATATATGAGAGTTGTTGTTACTGGTAGAACCATCAACTTAATTCACGAACATTATGGATTCGACCATTATTTATTAAAAGTATATTTTCGTTATATAAAAAAACAGCAAACTACAAGAGTTTTTAAAATAGGGTTTTTTTTCTTTTTTTGATTAATTTACTTACTGTTAATTGCAGACTCCGGCGTGTGATTTGAGATCTTTACTTGCCTTGAAATTAAAGCGCCAGATACTCATTGCATTGGCAGATAAGACTCTGTATCCTGACAATCCAGAAAAGCGTGAAGAAGTGTACGATAAATATAAGCAATATCTATCAACTGTAAGTAATATTGTATACATACGTTTTATACGTGTATCCAAGAATTACTGACAATCACATATACTAATTCCTGAATTAAAACCTATTTATTTTATCATTGAGGCCTATTGATAATTCTATATATCTTGTATAGAGTGTAAAGTTAATTGTATACTACATTCTATAATATTCAATATTTTTAGTATACAAGAGAGGAAATAGAGTGGTATGGTTTATCATATAAAGAAGCCTCACTAAAATGGATAAAATTGAAGCAAAAAGATCCGCAACCATTAAAAATCCAATATAGATCGGAATTAATTGCTAAACTTAAGGAAAATAAAATCAAAGAAGCCGAAAATGTAGATGTTATATCACCAGAGGAAACGTACGTAACTGTATGTGTATATTATTTCTTTGAATGTATTTCAAATTTACATATATTTTCTTTTACAGTAGTTCGTCCTGGTTGAATAAGCTAAATCCTTTCTCCAAAAGCTCAAAACCTGAGTAGATATGTAATGTTGTGTTTATATAATTTGTAGTATGTTACTAAAAAGGATGTAAAGATGATGAAAATATGCTAATAATGCAAAAGAAAAGCGGATTTATTGAAACCAACATGCACAAATCGAAAGTTTTTCATCGTATTATATTTATTGACATAACTGTTAATTGTTTTTTTATTCACACGCGTCTTTGCCATAGTGGTTTTCTAAATAAATGTTCCAGGCTTTCTTTTGTGACAAAGTGAACATTTTTCAAAATGGTATTTTCAATAACGGGGACGTTCAACAAGATTTAAAATGTTTGATCACAAAATTGTACTAAAATATCGAAGATTTATCCATTTTTCCGATATCATGTATGAAAGAATTGCAATGTAGATTTTTAATGACTGGAATATGTATTTGGTAATTGCGTTACTACAATTAAACGATAGGTTATATCAATAAAATTGTCGGTACTAAGATATTGAGCATTCCAGATCGCCATCCTTCGGCAAACAATCGAGAGTCACGGCGATAGCTCTTGTTAAATATGTCATCGTTCCATAGCTTCCACTAGGAGCGGTATCATAAAAATGTTGACAAATGTACGCTGCTCCACCACAGAGGAGTGTTCCCATAGGTGTCATTTCACGTTGCTCTTTTGGTTTCGCGCAACATAATGTCGCATCGCCGTCGATTGCCATCTGCAAATTATATCGTTTATACACAAAAGAAAATCTGGCATATTTTACGTTTTAGATATCTCTTGTGTTTTTTTGTCAATTTGTTTACTAACTTATCAGTATTTTTTTATACAAACAAAAGTTGTCAGATACCTGATCTTCCAAGAAAATAGCGTTTGCTTTATGTACTAAGTTTTCAACTTGGATCAGACCACCCAAAGATGGCACAACGTTATATTCGGTTACTAATGTCAATACCATCAAAGCTTCGACCATAAGCTGACGATATTCCGGTTGCGGTATGGTGTTTAAAACAGTTTCTACAGCCAATGCAAATTTCAATTCGCCAGATGTCATTTCCTGCGTGAGATTTTGGGACAGCACTTTCCCCTCTATTGCTAAACCGTTACACTATTAAAAGAGAATCAGCAAATTTTATAGAATTATATATAAAAGACAGTTACTCAAGTTAATCAAGTATCATTAATATCTTACTGTATAGTAATAATTTTATTTTACTTTTGATTTAGTTTTGTTTAAATAGTTACCTTTTCCAGTACTTGCCACACACGCGGGTAAAAATCTCTCGGTACTCTGTTTAGTGCACCGTCCAATCGTCGCCTGCGTAACCACTGACCTTGTCGATCTACCTCTGCTTCGGCGCCATCGGCATTTTGCTCGGCGCTTAAGAAACCACCGATTTGTGATTTCTGTGTAAAAACAAAACAAACTTTAACTTTGCTTTAACTTACTAGATATATAATGCGTTTGTAATTTTAATAACAATATTACCTTGCTGACTCTATTTGATTTGCAGCTAATCACAGAAAAATTGCCACGGCCGACTGTAACATAAACATAATCATTTATATTCGAGCGCTTATCTTGAAATTTTAATTAATTAAGATGAAAATATGTACCGCTACTAATGGCGAATTCTTTTCCGCTCATAATATGATGCAACAAGTTTTTCATCTCAAAGGGGGATAAATTAAGCAGATGTTCGGAAGCTTCTTCACCGGTACATTTCAATGTTCGCGACAGTTCCGTCGCCATGACCTGAATAATCAGACCGACGCGCAGCCTCAACATTTCGAGAAACAACTGCGGCTCCGTTCTGATAAACATCGCTAGATAAACAAGCAACTCCTGCGTCAGCATAGCCGTCGACTCGTCGTCGCCGTAGGCCTGATGGATCAGCGCTCGCAACTCGTTCTCTGGCAAAGGCGCAACTATCGTATGCTCGTTACTTGGCGGCATGCCGACGGTGACTTGCTTTTGACGGACCAGAAGATCGGTGACTGCTTTTGCCAAGTCCTCCACTCTTTTACCTAGCATTCCGGCGGTATGTCGCACAATACCCCACATTTTTTGCTGGCAGGCTTTCTCGTAGAGGCTCTTTAGGAGATCTTTCACCAGAACAGGATGTCCTTCTTCCAGTACGCCTGTGTCAAAGTATAATCCTTTTGAGTCGACCTGCAAATTTATAAAATGTTTGTTATAATTAATATTAAATACTTATTGTTTAATATATATAAAAATAAAAAAGCTTGCTTTTTTAAAAGATAATATAAAGAAGTAACAACTAACAATATACTGCAGAATATCTCCTTGTTCCTCGAGACTTTCGGTTTCGCGCAACATGGACAGTAATTCTTCCACTTCGGTCTCGGCGTATTGAGTCTCGGACGTTCTGTTTTTGGTTTTCGGAGAGTTTTTCCACGATAACAGTTCGTCCGTCGGTGAAGGTGTTCGCTCAATCATTACTGGTTGAGTAGCGTTGATAGACAATGTGGTGTCCGTCACTTCAATAAAAGGATTTGTGCTCAAAACAGTAGAAGAATGTCTACGGTCTTCCCCTGCCATTCCAAGAATTTCGGCTAAAATATAAGAATGAGGTTTTTACTCCATTACAAGAGAGAAATTAGTAATATTATTAATATTGTCACATTAAAAATATTAAATAATACATATGACATATACTGTAAAAAGAAAAAATATACACTTGGACAATCATATAATTATTGCACATGTAAGAAATTCAGCTTTTTATTAATATAGAAATTCATATAGAAATTAGACAAAAACAAACTTATTCAGTTAGTAAACTTACATTCTTGGATGATGGTAGTAATCACGGCAGTAGGAAGACATTGCAATAATGTTTAAGAATCCTCTTTAAAAGACATACAATCAACACACGGTTAGAACATAAAAATCACTCCATTGTAAGTTTTTTAGGAGACGAGCGTCACTTACGTTCGACAGCTATGGATCGTGTCTTTTTTATCGCGCCTTTCACGGACATCCTGCGTCGCAAATTTTTCGCCGAACGTACCGGGACGTGTTTATTGAGCAATCCCGTACGATGAGGAAACGGTCTCATCAAGTGTTCTTCTAAATATTGTTGAATCTTGACAGCATAAAAGATTACACATTATACAAGTTATATGTATAAATATAAAAATAAACAGTTCTTTATATATGTTTAAGTTTCATATACCTGAGGATTTAATTTGTCAGGACGACCGTCTTCAGAACTTCCTAGAAAACTAAGATTTGTGATACACGACGTGCTCAAGAAATCGTTCAAATTTCCTAACGATACTCTTGTACCGTTGATATAGCCACTCTTGAGCTTCTTCATGGTGGTTATCATGGCTAACGGTATTTTACCTTGATCTGCAAAAAGATCAGAGCTAATTGATCTTATTGATAAAAAATAAAAGAATAAATATTTGCTCTTCTTGCAATATCATTGTTTCTATATAGAAACAATGTAGTAAAAAAATATTTAAGAATCTATGCGGCAATATTGATATGAAGCTTTTCTTAAAATTTGTGATTTCGTATAACTAAAAAATATCAGTTTGCAATGCAAAGTCGCATGCAATTTTCGTTATTCACATTTTCACTAATTTTCTTTTGATGCGTATTTATAGACAAGAGATTCATGATACCTAGATATTAGCTAATCGCACGTTATAGCATTACACGTCACGAGCGTTTATGCTATATTCTACGAGTTTGTGTAGGATGAGAAGCTAAAATTTCCGACAAGGGCGTACCTAAATGATTATGAGTAGCGACAAGGGTTACGGTTGGTCTGCCGAGTATTTGCTTCCAGTTGATTTTGAGGAAGGCCAGGGTGGTTGTGTAAGTGCTGACAAGCAGGTCGGCGTCGTTTGTCATGTAGTATTCCTCCGTGTCAAAGTTCTAACACATGCAACACACGCGCATACCACCGAACACATAATAAAGCCATATATTTAGGATGACCTTGTTGGTTTTGTAGTGGTATTATTTCAAGTAGAAGCTAACATCTCGCCTCGAACATGTTTGCTCTTATCCCGCATTGTTTCGATCGAACAAATTTTCAACGTCAACACAACTCACAGTCGCATCCACTTTTCAAGACCCACGTAATAGGATCGTGTTAGTAACGACAAAATAAAATATCACGCAAATGAAAACTATATTAACATATTCACTGCGGGACACGTTGTATTTGATTCCAGTGATAGATAAAGTTTGATTGTGTTTTATTTAAGAGAAGAATACATAATGCGAGATGAATCTGGAAATATCCGCAGTGAACCTGTTAAAAGCATTATATCGTTATTATGTCGTAACCTTCTATGGATGATAACATTTTTTTTGTTCGAAGAATTTTTTTAACTTCGAAACTGACTTATATTACTCCATTTTGTGATTCACAGAATGACAAAGACCACCATAATAACTAAACCATAAAATAACTCAGAATATTTAAAATTTCGTTAAACCATAGAGGGTTAAAATAATTTGTTAAATGAGAACCAAGACAAAAACGATACATGCAAGCGGACACGTTAGTGTTGAGAGCGGACAGTCACAGCCGTTCAAAAAGGAACGAAACTTTCCCGCGAGAAAAATTTGTCAGCATTTCTCATAGTTTCTAAGAGTCGTTTAATTTATCTAATTGTAATAATTCAAATTCTCATATCTCTCAGAAAGCCTAAATTAGTGACTATAAAAAAGGAACTATGATCTTGCAATCGTTAAAAATTACCTAGATGAATGTTCTTGAGGGGCATGACCACGAGGGGTCGGCCCAACATATTCTGCCAACTAGACTTCAAGAAATTAATTTCACCTTTGAATATGTCAATCATGAGCTCATAATCCGATGCGATGTAGAAGCGGGTCATATCTGTCAACTAGTTGATTAAGTGCGAGAAACAAGAGGAAACATAAGAAAAGAAGTGAAGATACAGAGAGATGATAGAGATTCGCTAATAAAGTGCGATTACTTACTTGCGGCGTGAACGCGAATATCTTATCGTGCAAGGAATACAGTTTACTAGTACTGAGAATCCCGACGTCTCTCGATTTACGTCCGGACAATCCTAGTTTCTTATTACGCCCTGTACAAAAAAACAATTGATCAAATATCCGTATATATCTGCAAATGAATGCACTCACTGAAGAAATAATTTTAAAAACTGTCAGATATTTTACCCAAATATGTGTACAAATGACTCAAAACTTTTGCAGGCTGTACTTCGATCGGTGCGACTTCTGCGATCGTCTGCACGTGAATATCGTGTTGAGCAATTTTCTCTCTGATTTCTGTGTCCTCTGCCAAAATAACTACTTGCACCACGACATCCGGTTTTTTTTCGCTGCACAATCGTCTGTTTAACGGATCCAGTTCGCCGACCGCGAGAAACCCCTGTGACAAAACAGAATTATAAACAAAAAACAATAAGGTAGACATCTTCCGCGGATATACTTTACTTACTTCTTGCAACAATTTCCCTAGAATATAAAGAGATTGCGCCCACATAAATGGACACCTGCCTAAAGCTATTCGTCTTTGACTACCAGGTTCGGCATATTCTGCTGATACGTTCTCAGGTGCGACAGAATAGAGTTCAGGCACCAATTTCATACCGTCTTCTGTCTTGATCATTACTTCTTCTAAATGTTTGGTGTACGTTTCAACTGCTTCCTTATTGCCTTGAAAGCAATAATCTAATATTAAATAACAAAAAAACAATGGCCATTCACATTCGATGTTCTCGAACATACGCAGCTCCCATGGTTCATAATAAAGCCTGTTTTTGAAAATAAAAATCATTGGTCAAGAGATAAATTGCATGTAAAATATAAGAGAACTGTATATACATAAATCCAAGTATACGTGCCTGTTGACATCTTCTTTTGGTGTTTTATATCCATCCCTCAAGAATCTTTTGCAGCCATATCGTCCTTGCAATTTCTTGATAATAGTTTCTCGTGTCTCGTGAATCAGGTTGGCCTCGTCCACTGCAAACGCAGGAAAACTTATGATTGATAATAAGCCACTGTCCAGCTCCTTGGAATTCGATTCTCTCGGCAACATAGACTGTAACACGGCTTGACATTTCTGTGCCTCATCAGCCAAAACGTGTATGACCGATGTGGGTCCGCCTCTTGCACCAAACAAATCCAATTCGTTCATCGCTTCCATCGCGGCTTTTGCCATACCGATACTGCTTGCGTTTAATTCAGGTAAGCCGTGATTAGTTTTGTCTCCTCTTTCCCAAATCCCATAGTCTGGAGTACAGTAAGCGGATTCGATATAAAACACCAAGTTCTGAATGAAAGCCACCTGAAATAAAACATGCTAAATTTAATACACTTACTTTTTTATAAGTTTATGTAGTACATAAAAAATCTTTAATACCTCATCCAAGTTGAAGACAATCTGCAAACCAGAGGCTGTCATTTGTGCCAGAATTAAAAGATATAGAGAAATTGCATCGATTTGAAGATGTCCCCATGCAGTATCTCCAACCACAGTTTGTCCATTAACAGAGCTGTATTTAGCATGCAAGGCATCATGTGGATTTTGAGTTGACTTGAACTTCTCTACCTTCTCTTTCTGTTGCATCATTGCCATTAGTAAGCCTCTCATTAGTTTTACACAACTTTGCTCAAGCTCATAAGTCTTGGCTCTGTCCTCGTCAGCATCAGCTATCTTCTTGTAAGCCATTGATAGACCCCACACAGCAAGAATGCAATAAATATTGTCGCGAATCCAAGCATGATCATTGGTGGGACTAGCTGGGAAAAGTCCAGTTACAGGATTTTGATGATTCATAATTATTTTGTGAACTATCCGTTGGTAGTAGTCCAAACGGACACCAGAATTGCTTCTACTGCGCATCTTGTGAGTTGGTTTGTGAAACACAGTCCTGTGAAAAAAAAAAAAAACAATCTGTAAGAATCGTATATAAGTATACTTTTGCAAGAAGGCAAAATATTGTTTTATGTACGAGGAACAGACTAACTTGAGTAAAAGGTTAGAGATATATTAAGTTGTGTTCATTATCGTTATTGTCATACTTTTTATTAACGACTGTTGATCTTTGATTTTCAAAAGCAAATTGATATTAAGCGCACCGTCACGTAAAAAGATAAGGAAATTGCATTTTTTCACACACATTAACGAAGCTATAGCTCTAGAGATTTAAAACGCAATGTGAAACGAATGTCAAACACGCTAACTGCATAATATGTAGCTAGTTTCAGAAGAAAATTCACGTATGCGCAATGCAAATCTTAACAGTATTACGCTCAGAGTCGTCAGTTCTGTTAAAATTACAGATTCTATTCGTGAATTAAATAAATTCGAGTTTTCTTGAATAAAATTTAATAAAAATTTATTAATACTTTTCCATCTGATTTTTATTAAAGTCCAACGTAACAAACAAAATAGTGATATTTGGACACTAGAAACAGCTCACGTTGCATTATTACATCTAAGCACGAGTCTGTCAAAACATGTCATGTGCATGATATAAAAATACCAGGTGAGTTATTTCCGAAAATGCGCAGTAACATCCAATCAGAGATTTGATTTAAATCGTGAAAAGCAATATGGCTGCTAATTAGTGAGTATTAAAGGTCGCACATGAATCTTCGTAATCGTAAACGTAAAACGTAAGCATAAGCTCAAGAACCAATAAAAAAATAGCTTTAGATCTGAAGAATGTATTTTACGTCATAAACATGTGATTAATCAGCTGATCGCTGTTTACGCATGCGCAGGAGAAATGATAGAATTGGTGAAAAAACATATGTATATAATATATATGAAATATACTATATAACTAAATGTAAAAAACCTTAAACATTATATAATTATACGAAAAAAGGGTAAAATTAGCAAATTTATCTATTGTGTTAAGTTATATTATTGACAATTAATAAAATCGATAAAAATTCAAAGTTTCAAAACGTTTATTAACATAAATATATATGTATGTGGATTTATAATTTACGATATTTATCCTTTATGTTTTTACAAAATCTTTCTTCAATTTCGAAATGATAGAACGGATATTTATTTTTTGTTTTTGCACTTGTATATACTGGCTTTAAATACAGAAGAAAGAAGATAGAGACAAAGACATAAAGAATAGAGACAGAAAGGTAAGACGTAAAAAAAGAGATTGCATAATAAAAAAATCTCAAATTAGATAACTTATATACTTTATACTGATTTGTTTCTGCTGGTTCTCGTACGTGCGACAAGTCCGCAGCAGCCATCAGATCGTTGGCAACATACGCAAATATGGTCTAACTGTCAGCCACTCGGTTCCTACGGGCAGCTTATTTTTTTTTTATTTTTTGTTTCGTGCGATTCCGCGGGAATATTTCTATAATCTCCGGAGTTTCCTGTGCGTCAATCAGATCGGATCCGCGATATGGCATCGACGACCAATTTTTCATATCTATTGTTATTGATTACACTAACCTTATCTATCAACGCGGAGCCAGATGGAACGTCCTCGGTACCGCCGATTCCTGGCCGAGAATCTTCGCTACAACCGTCGTCGATAGAACATTCTTTCAATGCCACTGACGATAAAAAGGTGATAAATGTGATATCCAAGAATATAACTACAGAATTGCACAAATTTCATATCATACTAGTGTAAGAATCACACTGGATTTATATTATTTATTTTTTTGTTTTGCAGACTTATTGTTTCCTTAGTTTATGCTGAACTTACATTTAGGTATTTATAGTCGAATTCTACATTTTTTTCAAGTTGTATACATCGGTAATGGCAGAAGGAGGACCTATAATTGTGTCGACCTCTCAACAACCAAACATTGAAGATGCAGCCAAATTTGTATCCAACAAGTTTGATGAGTCCAAACCAAGAGAAAATGTGCCTAAGGAAAGAAACGCCAATCCTTCTGTGGTCCCAAGAAAGGGAGTTGAAGAAAAAATAAAAGCAAGGAAAGGAGTGGACCCTGAACCAGAGAGAACGAATGTTTTGTTAAATCAAACCACAAAAGAAGATACAAAGCCTATAATAGAAACCAGCCCCATACAAGAAACTTTAGGTAATACTCAGACCAAAACTTCTGGCATCAATATCCAAAAATTGAACACTACCAATTTAAACAACAACTTAGATCATAGTATAAATTTCCGTCACTTCAACACAAGTCTGACAAATATAACTGCGTCTCACACAGAATTCACAAATAAGACATCAATATTAAAAATTTCTACTGAGAAACATATACCGAAACCCAAACCAACAGTGACAACTGTTGACGGGCCGGAAGTTAACGAATCTAGACCGTTGTCGCGTACAAAAAGCTTTCCACTAGGCATGCCGAGAAAAATTGATTACATTGTACCAGTTATTATAACTATGATTGCTTTACCAATATTGGGTGCTGCTCTTTTCATATTGTATAGACGTGGTCGAGATTGCTGGGATAAGAGACATTATCGCAGAATGGATTTTCTGATTGATGGAATGTATAATGATTGAAGTTTGTGAAAAAAGATTTATGTTTTATGAGATTAAGTAGTTGTGTGATTATGTAAGAAAAAATCTAATCTCGAAAATTTTCATAAATTTTTTTATTGCATATTTGTATGCATTTTACGATAAAAAACATTTGAGATTGGATTCTTTTTACATAACAACATCCAAAACCGTTAATGATAACTATATCATTAAAATTATATCAAATGACATTTTACTATAGCATATTATAAACATATTTTTAACATTTTATAATATCTGAAATCAGAACGCTTTTTATTTTCAAGCTTGCTATATAATTTTGTTCATTAGATATATTGTTGCCTTACTAATGATATACTGACATTTTATAATTTGTAAAAGTAAATATATAAAATGTTAAATGTTTATTTTTTAATATTTATATTAAAAGAGTGATATTTCTTATCTTGTAAAATGCTTTTATAACGTGGAAAAGAATTTATATAATTGTTGCATTTTTTCTTGCAATTTTTGGAATATATAAATATTTTTTATATATATTGTATATGTGATGTCATTTAGCAAAAGAAGGATTCAAAGAGAAGGTTGCCAAATACGACAATAATAGCAGTTCGAAATTCAAGCAAAAATTAAACAGAAAGGTCACATTGTGCTTTGAAAGTGCTCTCTCAATGATTATCATCGACCATTTCTGCATGCAAAAACTTGTAAGATACCATGCAAAATGCGATATGTATACATTTTACCAAAGATATACTCAAGTTTCGTATACTACGGTTTTTTTATGTAAGTTTTGGTCATATATTGTATGTATAACAAAACGTTGCATTTTATACATGTGGTGGATAATTCGTGAGTCTTCAAGCTCGTCCAAGTAAAAAAATGTTATTGATAATTGCCATACATAGAATATCAGTAAAATACTGTAATATCGACTCGCTATGTAAATATTAGGTTGTTCGAAAAGTTTGTAGCGTTTCCCAATAAGTAGCATTACCGTAGATGGGTTTGATTTAATATTTCTATTTGACAACATATGTATTTGGAACAGTTACATTTCAACGCGTCTTTTGTTGCGAAGATGACATTTAGAAACTACTTGAAAGATGCCGAAATATCATTAAAAGAAAATAATGCATATATTGCTGAATAAAGATACAAGTAAAGATTATTTATAAAGTCTTTAAATTTTATTAAAAAAGCTACGTACTCTTCGAACGATCCATACAACGATTTGTGAAATTACTCGGTCTATGTGAAACATTTTGAGATTGTAATTTTTTAAAGCGAAGTTGCATTTTAGACTTTTGAAAGTCTATATTTTATCGACGCGTGGGAAAGCAATAACAATTATTTTTGTACTATATCTATGTAAAGAAAGTTATTGTTATAAAATATACACATACTTGCAAGTCACATAATTGTTTACTTTGCTTATTGCTCACCACACATCAAAAACTGAATGTATATTAATTATAAAAACTTTACTTTTTTTAAAGAGGCAGAGAAAAAAAACTGATATATTTATAAATATTTTATTAATAAGTTTTCGTTATATATAGGTACACACATAAATTCAATAACATTAGTAATATGTGTAAAGTACAAGAATTTCCACAGTACGGAAAGAGAAAAGAGTTTTACATATGTGCAACACACGTTACATATATTCAGCGGATATTAATCTTCAAAATTTCTGTCTTGAGTTTTGATGATCTCTAACGTGGTTCAAGGTATAACAGTTCTACTCTCTTAGTTTCGTCTAAAAGTTTCTTTATATTTTTATTTAAAAAATAACCACAATAAAATATAAAGTGTATATATATATATATGTATATACACATAATAAAATTAGCGTAATAAAGATAAAAATTACATTTCTGTGCATTCTTCCCTTTTCTTGTAAGAAAAATATAGAATATTGAGAAAATATTTTTTATAATAAAGATTCCTTGTCCCATTAATGTTATAACGTGTATATCTATCACTACGTCGGTCTAATCCCGGTCTAATCCCCACGTAACGAGTAACTCTTCGTATAGCTAACGACGTATTGTAAGACTAAAAGATGTACTTACTCTAAAGAAGTACAGTTTAGATTCCCTGTCTTCAACTAAATTCTAAGTCAAGCTAAGGTCTGCGTCTCCTGTTTTTTCGTGGAACTAAATACAAAAATAGTAATCACGGTACGAAACGCTGTTTATTATGATTTCATTGCAATGCTAATATATACTTAAAAGTACTGCTGCGAGAGAAAGAGAGGAAATAGTTGTACAATTTTAAATATCAATTAAAACTGGATTTTCAAAAACAGTACTTTTTTCACATAGCACAGCAATAAAAGCATAGTGTTTTCATATGTTTCCTTCATTTTTATTTATTATTTAAGAGAGACGACTTTCGTCTCGTCTGCTCAATTATAAAGAAGCTTTAGTTTGTTTTCTGTGTGCATCTAACTTACAAACAAGTTATTCGCTAAAGTTTCACGTTATCAGAACATAAACTTGTGCATGAATATACAGCGTAAATATACAATTTTTTTCTTAACATTAATGCTAAAATATCATAGAAAAGTCGTACGTGTGCAAATGACGTCAAGGCCGAACTAAACAGAAAATTTCGAAATTTTTTGAAAACTTCGCATATAAATTTTGAAGAAAATATTTACATTATCACAAATATCAGTACAACAAATATAATTTCTATTTAGATGATAAAAATGTCATTTATGCAATTTTAAGGTAAAAAAAAATAAATAAACAAATGACCATTTAGAGCCAAATGCGAACGTTGGTGCGCAGAAATTATGTATATATGTTATAACAGTACATCACGCATATTTTTCGGCTTACAGATCCTCATCAGCGCACAACATAATCATAAAGACGGATAGCGAACAAATTGTCATCAGCAATGCGAAAAATCGTGCGTGAACTTCCTGGTATACACAATAGGCGAAAAAGACAGATTTAAATCTGTCTTTGCGGAAGTTGCTGTGAAGGCTCAGAAAGCCAAATATTGTGTACTATATTTGCCTACCAGAGTACATCTTTGTCCGTGTGTATTGTTCAACACACCAAAAAGAGATAAAGATAAATTTGTAAAAGGTAAATTTCCAGAACTTGTGTCTTTCAAACGCTGTCTCTTTTAAAAGATGTAGCTCACCAACATGTTTTTGGATAAATTTGCCAAGATGAATCATCCAAGCACAGTGAATCATGTTGAACGAAGTCCAGACGCAGACACCGGGTTCAGTCGCCATTCATTCAAGAAGTTCTTTAAGATATGTGCCATAACTTCTCGGATCGGTAGAATCGGCATCATCTGTAGTTGAAATATCAATGTGCACATTGTTTGCTCTTCAAGCAAAAGAAGTCTTTTTACATTTCTAGATAACTTCGGCTACAAAACTTATTTTCGAAGAATTAAAGTATTTAACAACTTTTTCAAATTTTCGTTGAAAATCAAACCGATAAAAAGATTCAAACTTTTCAAAATAATCATTCGTTTCGAATCTTCGTATTCTCGGAGCAAATAAGGTCAAAACATCATAGAATAGCTAGAAATATTGCTTTCAGCGCGAGTTTTTCACTTCGGATTTTACCTCAAAAACTTTCGTACAAGAGGTCCTTCTATTTCGACTTGTATTTCGCTTCGTCCGGGAAGGCTTCTCTGGGCGGCACAAGGCTGAGCATCATGACGTGACGCGCATAGTTTCGCGAGCTGCGGAACTGTGTGTCAGTACCGTGGATACGATCCAGAACTCCGAGTACACCGTAGCACTGATTAAACCTGCAAGTGTTTGTTTAGATAACTACAAGCATAAATTCTGATTTTTCAATGTAAAATCAGTAGAAACATTGTAATGCGCTAAATAACGCACGAAGCCTAATGAAAGTAGGACACGTGTGTTCTATGAAACCGTAAAAGTGATTTTACGATTCAGAGAAAAAATTTTCAGAATCCAAAGTGAAGTAAACAAGCTATTTGCAATGATATTTATAGCATCTCTGAGCATTCTGTGGCGTCTCCGTCCTAAACGCATAAATTGAAAGGATTTGTTGAGATCATTACTTTAGATGATGAAAATCATGAGCCTCCGGCGATGGGAAGAACGGCAGATGATATCCGGAATGTGCGTTCAATGTCGAGAGAATCGCGAGCGAAAACCATATCCAGGCGGTGGCTACGTGAGAGCCCATGATGAAAACACCTAAGAAGGGCGGAAGTAGATTTGAACCAATATGCTCCAAAGGATGACAATATAACGCGGTGACGGCTATGGGTGCAGTCCATTCGTGATGTTGCTTATGTATATATTTATACAAAGAGCCTTTGTGAAGAAATCTGTAAAGCGCATAAGATAAAATATAAATAAAGTATATAACTATACAATTTATAATAAATAATTCAGTCAAAACCATTAATTTTTTTTTATTTAACAACTCAAATCCGACGTTCACTATTTAACTTAACTGATTAAATCACTAAATTTTTGTTTGAAGACAGGTGATTTAAACACGGATGTCATTTTTATGACTATACATAAATAAATATTGTTTTTGACTTAGCATATTTTGCATTTCATTTGCTAGACGTGATGCATCAGCTATTTTGACTTTCAGACGACACGTACCTGTGCGAATAATAAAAACCAATCTCTTCACACAATATGTGAATCGCGATCTCGGCAAGCACCCAATGGAAGGTCGGCAGCTTGCGCACCGGGGAATAACCACGCCATTCCATGAAGTAATAACCGAGATACATAATAGGAAAGCCGACGACGATCTGATTGAACAGTACTTGAGCGATCACTTTGCATAACTTCCGATTGTCGACCGGCTCGTTCGTGCCGGGTTGTATTTTGTATCTGCGCAACGCTGCCGGCCGATTCGTGATATCTAGGATGGTGTAAATTCCGCCGACCAGCCAGTAAACAATTATCGTCAGCGTCAAGGATCCTGTAACCACAAGACTGATTAACAAAGTTTCGCAATATCACGAACTTCCTCTTTTTCTGTACAAAAATGTAGTGTATAACAATTGTAATTTCATAGAATTAATTCAACATATGTAATTTTAGTATTATAATTGTACAATTGAACAAAAGTTACAATAGTTCCTCTTTTCAAGAAAAAAATTTAAAGTGGAATAATTTCAAACTTACCGTAAACCCATAGCGTAACGGGATTGTCACCAAATTTATCTAAAATTTTATCCCATTGCGCTTGCCAGAAGTCGCCGGATGCACCCCAAAATCTTTGTAAATGCCTGAAAGTGTCAAAAATTTAGATACATACTTTCAAAAACTGCAAAAATATTCTGTAATAATAAATAGCATAATAAAACATCTATTTAGCTCCGTGTAAAAAAACAGAAGTTTTTGTATACAAATTCTTTTGCAGCCGAATTAAAACTACAGTCTATTCTTTTTACTTCTATTAAATAAAAAGAATCTGTTAATGCCGTTCTTTTCATTACCATGTCAGAGAATTACAGAAGGCGGCAAATCCTATCACTACAGTTCCGATAACGAAAAGAACACTTCTCAAACTCGAGAGAAGCGTCGGTGGAGTTTGATTCTTCGAGACATCGCTGATAGCGGAGGTTGCTGCAACAATTAATAAACGTATAAAATATATTATGTATTTTAATAAAGAATAATCGCTGATGACATTAAAAAATGTGTAAAGTTGACAGAATTATACAATCAAATAAACAGAATGCCGCAAGAATCTGATTTATTTATTACTCTTCTTAAAATTATCTTATGTAGAAATCACTTAAAATTCAACTATAAAAATTTCCTGGGTCCTTTCAATAAATATCTGATTACGTAAGACAAATCAGTATTCTATTCACAGTGTGTCCAACTAAAAAGCAAGTCGTAGAACAAAAGCGGAAATTTTCAATCGCCACACTGCATGTTCATCGCAAAGTCCGTTTAATACTTAACAAGGTAGTTTAATACAAGCAACTTGATTTTCATAGAACTAATTAAGTTTTTTGTAGACGTTTGCAAAAAAAATTGTCTACATATTGTAGGTATATTGTATAATTCTTTTTATAAACACAAGTGTTACACATAATAAATTATGAATAAACTGTCGCAGTTACAAAGATCACACTTTAACAATTTGCTGTTTATCGACTATCTTATTGTGTTAAAACTATAGAAAATTGCTGATAAAGAACATGTATATATGGATGCAGTAACAAAAATTGATATTGGATGAATTGAGTGTGAATTATCAATAAGAATGCTAATATAATTTTAATGCGATAACGACGGGTGTTAAACAGTACACCATTTACAAATTTATTTGTCACATCGTAATAATAAACTCTCTTTGATAAATCACATATACATATATTGTTGTACTTGCGCAATAATCTCTTTCAGTACGTACGCACTTGATATCCGCTCCGCTTATATGTATATATACTATCTTAATTTGTCTTCACGATGCTATTTATCGCATTGAAAAGAAAGAGAAACGAGAGGAAAATTTCCAAAACAATAATTACATTTAATAACAAAGGGGACTTATATGATCTTTTTATATTAGTTCGCGATACTTTATTCGAAAGTCAGAGAGATAAAATCACGTTACGATAGGCAGTATCTTGCGCGTCTATTGAGAATGATTGCACGCATATCTGAAGCAATAGCGCCGCTTTGATAAACGCAATCTCCTTCCAAGTCACGTGCGACACAATGTTAGCACAAATAGCTTTGAGAATGGACTATTGAATAAATCAATTTTGTAATCATTGTTTCTCACTTCATAAACATATTGTTTGCAAAAAATCAGAGGAATTAATTCGATTACGAATATTAAAGATTTTACACACACACATATATATACATACATATACACTTCTATAAAAGATGAAAAGTGACGAAGACACGCAATCTCATCAATAACACAATTACTATATTCTATTAAGATTAAAATTAAAATATTTTGAATTAATCTCAAATGGAAATTTATTTACGTAACGCAAGAAACTAAATCGTATCTAATACGAAAATTAATATTAGAATTACGCGTGTGACTTATTAAATTTTTTGTTGTTATATAAATCTTTGCAAAGATTGATGTATACATTGTTATATAACAAAAATATTTAATACAAAAAAGACATCGTATAGATAGAAAGTCGATTTTTTTGTAGGTAAAGCTATTAAAGAGATTTTAAGGTCAATCTAGTTTTTTTTAAATGGAATCACTCTAACTTGTTTATATAAATCAATTCTCCTCGTAATATTTGCTGTATAAAGTTACAAGAGTAAAATGTTCAAAAAGTGTGAATAGCTGTATATATATGATGATTATATAAAAGAAAGATATAAATAGTACTAAGAGTAACAAATGTTATAAAAAAAAGAAAAAAAATAAAAAACTTTTGTTTCTTCTAAATATTGTAATATTGTTAGTTTTTATACATCTACAAATGTACAAGACTTGTATACATCTACAAGTTAACTAGATAATAAACGTTATTTGATTTAAAAACAATTAATTTTTATTTATCAAGACGCGTACAAAAAACTGCATTAGTAGAACCTCTTCAAAGAAACATTCCACAACCACAATATATAAAAAAAAAATCAGGTTTGACCGCGTGATGGTTTGGAGATTTTGTTAGTAATCATGATAATCGCTCCAACATAAATTATTTATCTAAAAAGAACTCAATGCTTCAACAATTTTTTCCTTTTATGTACAATCTTTTAAAATATATTTCAATTCTTACGATTTTAATCGATTAACGAAGTTTGAGCTAAATGTTTCTCATAAAATAACACGCCAATATTTTCGATCACCAGATTCCAGAAAAGATTCACCAAATTCATCGCCAATGAGATGCACTTTTTCGAGAATATCGCTATTAATAGCATCGTTCGGCACTCACTTTTCGCTTTTTTGCGGGGGGCTCGTTGCAGCCAGAACATGATTTCGTATGTTGTCTCTTAAACGCGCAACTGGTTTCTCTGTCGTGAAACGGATCGCGCCGCGAACGTGGAACCACCGACAGGTCCGGGATCGAATGTAGCTTGTGTACGAGAGATCATTCACCGCTTCGGACTACTTCGCTGGTATCTCGTGCTGTCAAACGAGTCGTACTGACTAGCGTCGTTTCGCGACTAGTCGGCGAAGGTCCGCGGATGACGCGTCCGTGCCCGTTGCCCCCGGCGTCTACAAATTTCCTTTGTTTACGCTTTGTGCGAGAAGCAGGGATGTCCAGGATAATTCGATAGCATCGAAGCCTTGTTCTCGTCATCTGTATCGGTATTTTCGGTTGATGATACAATAGTATCTTCGAGGCATTCTTCATCCTCGACCAGTTATCGAAGTAACAACATTCGGCCGTAGATAACGAAATTCAATATCTTTCTTTTACTTTCTGTCTTCAGAGAGATATGTCTGTTAAAAACTTAATTTTAAAAAGTTTTAAAACTTACTAAAAAGTTTCCGATAAAAGAAAATTAAAACTTATTCTAACAATAAAACACTTGTAAATACTCTCTCTCAAGTTGTTAAACATAATCAGTGCGCACACATATATGTGTATATGTGTGTAACACAATATAATTGTACGTAGCAATACACGTGATGTTGAAGTATGTCACGTAGATGCAACACATTTGACGAATAAATGCATTATATACTCTAACTTTACGACTCACTATCTCTGTCTCATTTCTTATCTCGAGTGCAAAAGCGCACGCTTCTAATCTCTGTCACGAATTGTTATTTGCGGTTTATCTCGGTGAGACAAAGTAAAGAACAATTTGACGCGCAATACAACAGAATTGTCTATTTATCTGTGCAAATGACGTCGCTAAATCGATTACCACTCGCTAAGACGCATTTATGTACGTGAAAAAAATACAAAATATTTTATAATTTACAATAAGGCACTCTTGCCTGAATAATTACCACACTAGTTTTATGTATGTGCAAGAATAACAATAAAGTTTTGTGTTTATCATATTAAGTTAGTTCGATTACATGGTTGCGAGATTTGTTTGAGTAAGAAGCTTAAGTGCACATAGATCCGTGCAATTGCGACGTAAACAACACATTACGCGATTCTACGTTTATTAGCTAATACATCAGCATACATATATATGCAGCTAGTAGCTACACAAAATAGCATAAAAGATTGATGTAAACGAGAGATCGATATCGAATGAGTCCCGGTCGAGATTCACACTAAACAAATCGATATATCGAAAAAACTTGAATTAACATATAAAATAGCTTGATCTTCATTAGAATATATAAAATTATGCGAAATTAACAATAAATCTTTTCTCGTAAACTGATGGATTTTTTAATATAGTCACAACAACTCGTGTTTCGAAACTCGTTCGTCATAAAACGAACTTCCGATATTAGATTTGTTCCCGCAAACACACATGCGTTTGAAAATATCCGTAAAATATCGCAAATAAAATACCGATATTTTGCAATATCTATACGTCACCACATCTCATACGTGTCTCGCTGGGGAACAAAAATCGGGTCAACCTCTCGATGAAAACAGAAATTTCGCTATTGATCAAAGGGACATATTGGGTGCGTATTGGTGAACGCGTATTTTTCTTAAATTCTTTTCGCAAATTATATCACGCGTGTTAAAACAAAGATTCCGTGAGAACATAACAAAGGCCGCTCGCGCGAACATACGCAGTTTCGAGCGCACTTCTTGTATCTTCAATATTGAGCAATAAAAGTTTTATGAGGAGACGCTTTTATGTGCGCAGAAACTTTAGTCTAACAGAGCAGCGAAAAAAAAGTAACGGGAAAGAAAAATTCAGGAAAAACGCACATGCGATCTGGCTCGTAATTTAATTCCGGATCGTCAACGCGACAAGAATTCCGCGCGGAAAGCTCCTCTTGTGCAAGTCCTTTGTGTTCGTACTTCAAATTGCATTCTTGCGCAAAATGGCTCGCACGCGAAAACATTCGGGTTGCAGAATTTCCGGTCCGACATAACGAGTCATTATCGCAGATTTTATCATACGGAAAACATACAATCTGCCGACATCGCTGAAACAAGAAAAGCAGACAGCTTTTTTTTCCGAGCACTGATCATCGTGTAGTTAGCGATAAGCGGGCGAATGTCCTCTACGTGTACAAACACACATCGATTTTCCTCCGTCAGCTGTTCATTGACAATCGTATTGTTGATGCACGGCGAGATCGCGAACAACGCGACAAGTCTTCGAAATGGAAAATTGGTTTTTGTTCGCGCAAAATTTTTTCTTACCTTTGCACTGCCGCTGCATCTTTAACGTCGCCACACACGGCGACGGCACGTCAAACTGGAAAACTACGCGGTGATGATGCTTGGCGACACGGTCGGGCGCGACGAGGTATATGCGCGCGAATAGTCGATAGACATCGACAGTGACGACGACGGGAACTGCAAATGCGCTGTTGCGTCGACGCCGAAAACGCACAGTATGTGTTCCAGGAGATGACTGTCATTCGAAAATAATAGATGTCAAAAATATATATGTGTAGAAAAGATATAATGTAATAGAAGGAATATGTGTAAAAAGAGGAAAAATGCGAGTACACGTGCGACACATGCCGAGAGTTGTGATTTATACGTTTACATATGTATGTACCAATATACGTATGTAAACAATAAATAACAATTTTACTAAGTGGATATATTAATGCAAACCAATATTATCTTTACATTACCGCTCACTTCTTGATCCACAACTTTGCTCACTCGCTCGGTTCGAAGAATGGAAAAGCTCTTCGCATGCGACACTCCGTTCTTTACAAATCTGCCCCTGGACCTAAGCTTGGAATAGAACCAAACAATTGTAAATAGTCTTTATCTATCGAATTGATTCGTGGAACATGGCTACGTAGTTTACGTTCACGAAACATACACATCGCGGCGCTCTAAACCGTAAACCATCAATTCACTCTGCTTGGTCTATGACTGCGTTCCGATATTCACTTTGAAAATCTATAGTTTACGTGACATATATCATAGATTTCCAGTACTGGCGGTAATTTTCGGAACGCAGTTTATATATATATGTCATTGGCGAATATGGATTTGACGATTATCCGGGCGGAGACGAGAGACAATCATGTATTACTCCGCTGCGGTAACCATAGCAACGGTTTATACGGAACTACTTTCGGAAGTTCGCTTGTTAATTTCGATCCGTGGAATTCATTGGCGACGATCGAACTTCACTGTTCCACAATTCGCACCGCGTTTTTCGCGCAATCGGCCAGATTTGTCGGTTGAATCGGCTCGAGGGATCGTTTTCGTGAATCCGACCGGACAATCAAATCCATTGATATCGTCAGTGAAGTGTCAATCCGCTCCTTGAAACCGTCCGCAGTAGTGGGATTGTTTGTTCTTCGCGAGGGAATATTTGCATTTCCCGATGTAAGTATGCAATGACACCATCGTGCGAGATGCAAATCGTTGCTCTCGACGATCCATTTCCCGGAGAACAAAACGAATGTCCGCGAAATTCTTTATAAACGATTGCCGCTGTATGTAACAAGTGACATCTCGTATAGGCATTAATCAATAACAGAAGCTAATATTGACCGCTCGGAAATTTTAATTTTCTGTTGTCCAACCGTGACGACAACCAAGTAAAATCCACTAATGATGTTTTATAACGATTTGCTGGCAAAAATTGCATGCTGGATTGTACTTTTTTACATCACAGTAAAAATTTATAATTAAGAATAGAGAAGTTTTCTCTTTCTCTCAGTTTTCCCCCTCTCTTCCTCTTTCCTGTCCTTTTTCTCCCTCTTTTTCTCTTTTCTTTTTTCTTTTAATACTTTTCTGGTAATCTAGAAAAGATATTTTATTAAATATATAGGCATTTAATATTGAATAAAAAAAGTTAATTGGTGTTTGAACTATATGTATAACATTTAGGTTTAACCGTGACCAAGATCAGAATAGGAGTCGTCGTGGTGGTATCAGAACAGGACTTACCAGAGGTGGTAATAATAATGGACCTATTTCTAATAGATTTGGTATACATACTAGAGGAAATACTAGTAATGTAAGAGGTGGATTGAGGGGAAAGCTACCTGGTGGTAATTTAAGAAAAGTAAATTGGGACCTTCATACTTTAGAACCACTACGTAAAGATTTTTATATAGAACATTCTGCAGTTAGAAACAGGTATTAGTTTCAAATTACATAGATTTAGAATTACTTTGGAATTGTAAAAGTTGTTTTTGAACTTAAATTAAATTAGATCCAATGATGATGTAAATCAATTTCGACACAATGCGGAAATAACTGTCAAGGGTGAAAATGTCCCAAATCCTATACAATACTTTGAGGAGGGAAATTTTCCACCCTATGTAATGGAAGGTATTCGTAGACAAGGATACTCACAGCCTACTCCAATTCAAGCCCAAGGATGGCCTATTGCTCTCAGTGGCAGAGATCTTGTTGCAATTGCTCAGACTGGTTCTGGGAAGACACTTGGTGTGAGCAGAATTTAACAATATTAATATTATTTCAAAGAGATAAAAAGAAATTTTTTAAATAAATATATTAAAAATACAATATAATGAGTATAAGAATTGAAAATATATATGAATTTTATTTTCAGTATATTCTACCTGCAATTGTGCATATCACACATCAACCACGCATAAGCACTGGAGATGGTCCGATTGTCTTGATTTTAGCTCCAACCAGAGAGTTAGCTCAACAGATTCAAGAAGTAGCTAATTGCTTTGGAGAGACTGCAGCTGTAAGAAACACATGTATCTTTGGTGGTGCTCCAAAAGGACCACAAGCACATGACTTGGAAAGAGGCATTGAAATATGCATTGCTACTCCAGGTAGACTTATAGACTTCTTAGAAAAAGGAACTACAAATTTATGCAGGTATGTATAATTTATGTGTATTAATAAAAAACTAATCTACATATATTTTTTAATTGTGAAATAACAAGCATCTAAATATTTATTCTAAATCTGATTACAGATGCACTTATTTAGTACTTGACGAAGCTGATCGTATGCTGGATATGGGATTTGAACCACAAATACGAAAAATAATTGAGCAGATACGTCCTGACAGGCAAGTGCTGATGTGGTCAGCAACATGGCCTAAAGAAGTGCGCGCACTAGCAGAGGACTTTTTAACCGATTATGTTTATCTTAATATCGGTTCTTTGACTTTATCGGCTAATCACAACATCACTCAAATCATTGATGTTTGCCATGAATATGAGAAAGATTCGAAGCTATACAGACTGCTTCAAGAGATCGGGACTGAGAAAGAGAACAAAACTATTATATTTGTGGAAACCAAGCGTAAAGTAGATGATATTACGCGAAACATAAGACGCGATGGATGGCAAGCCGTGAGTATTCACGGTGACAAGAATCAGCAAGAAAGAGATCACGTATTACAAGAGTTTCGCAGTGGAAGAGCGCCGATTTTAGTTGCAACTGACGTAGCCGCCAGGGGGTTAGGTACGTGAAATTTTCGTGACGAAGTCATGTTTTGATGTAGGCACTAGGAGAGTCACGGTTAAACTGGGTATTGGCAACACTTATTGGATTAGCCGATGATGCGTTATTAGACTGAGGTCAGCCGACAGCTGTGTACGTAGCAGTGTGTCATGCATTGGAACTTATTACCATTATTGGTTCAGTCGTATTGTAGGACGATGCAAAAGTTATTAGTTTTCTGTAGTTTATGCTTCTTACAAATGAAATTTTATTTTATAATTTAAACATGCTGAAGTTTCACTTCCACATAATATTTTTTGAGATTTTTTGCAGTTATTATTATATACCATTCATTTTTCCTAAAATTAAATTTGTATATCTTCACTTTTTTGTGAAAGTAACAGAAGAGAGAGAAAACAATTTTTTTATTATTTTTTATACTTTGATTATGTTTTTACATTCGTATACAAGCTGGACACAATGTTAAAATAGTTTTTATTAATTTTGAGGATATAATGTATATGAAGGTTCTGAAAATGCACACAAGCTACCACTAAGTCTGTCTGCTTTTCTTTTTCAGAGGCACAGAGTACCCTAACTCAACGCGGTGTACTGCCAGTATTGGGCAGACACAGTGATTATTTTATTTTTCTTTGTTTATATCTTATTACAATTCCCAAACAAAGTAATAAATTTATCTGCAGTTTAACTTTTGTTTTAACATTCTCAATATCACGTAGTAACAAAGCGAACTTTATTATCTATGTATTAATTAATTATTGGATCAGGTGACACAATGACTAAATCATTATGAGAAAACGTTTTTAATGATAAAAAATTATCTGAGCTTGCAGACAATTGTTGCATTTAATAATATGAAAAGTACAACTGTTATCTAGTGCCTCTAACTTTAAGGAATTAACATACAGTACTTATCTAAAAACTAATGCACTCAGGCTTAAACCCTAAATTGCTGCCTTTATCCCAAACCAGACACAACCGCTGTGTCTGTCTAATCTCTAGGCCACCGGTATATTACCGTAAGAAAACAACCAGAATTGCCCCACTTTAAAAGCAAACGGGGTCGTTCTTGCTGATTTCACATCGAAATTTCCAAATAAAAGGTGGGTATCTTCATAAATCTGTTTTTATTGACTAAATTTATCTGGCAGTTACAAAATAGTAATTGTTCTGTTTTTTGAAATAATAATACACTTTGCACTTTAAATTGGGATTTTTTCATTATTGATACATAGTTTGTTTTTCTTTTTTTATTCTTTTGTCAGGGAACCTTATGAAATAAGATGATTATTTAAATATATCAACACAAGCTAATGAACTTTTATTGTCCAAAGACGTTATTGATTCAGATAGAGTATCAAAAAAATTGTTTCCTTAGTTTTCAGAAAAAAAATTACAAATATTATATTGCAGAGAAAGAAAAGTTTTCTCAAAACACAAGAAGACGTGTTTTATCAAGAAAGGCATAAAATATAAGAAGTATAATACATCGTTGTTCATTAATATTACTAATCTTCACATTTTTGTTTGATCGTATTTCACAGATGTAGATGATGTGAAATACGTTATAAATTTTGATTATCCATCCTCATCGGAAGACTACATACATAGAATCGGTCGAACTGGGCGCAAGCGACAGACCGGAACGGCATATGCATTCTTTACGACCCATAATATGAAGCACGCTGGAGAATTGATAGAGGTATTGAGGGAAGCTGGGCAAAATATTAATCCACGTCTCAGTGAAATGGCAGAGATGGCAAAAACGGGAAATTTTGGCAACAGAAGTATGTTTTATATGTGATCAGTAAGATCACTATTAATACTCGATTATTTTTTTCATAAAAATGTTACCGATATATGATTCATAAATCCTGTATTTTTCTTTCTTTTTATAAAGATGGAAAACGGTTTGCCGAACGATTTTCTTCTGGTACTAATAACGCGGAACGGGGTAACAGCCGAAGAATCAATAATGACGGCAAAGGAAGAGGAGGCAATTCCGCAAGAGGAAGAGGCCCTACTCACAGCGGAAATACTTTTCATTCTTTCTCTAACGTTTATTCGGGATCGGATTACAATAATTACAGTAATGCAAAACAAAATACTTCTTTGAGCCAAAGTACGACGTACGGATATAGTACGCAGAGAAATTACGGACAGGGTAATATGCCACAGAATTATGGAGGTGGCGATAATTATGGAAGTGGTTATTCATATAGAAGCACAACTTATTAATCACGTTATTTTGTGATTGACAGCGCGTAATAATCCGATGGTGCAACTCACTTTTAGTTATAGCAAATTTGGTTATAAATGCAAATTAAAGTCTGACTTGTAATAGCCGTAATAGGCAATATTGGGAACGAGGGTAGCATATGTAACAAATTGTGTCATACTATGGTTTACGTGACATGAGAAAAAGAACAAACGTTGATACTACACTATCTAAACGTATATAACAGATAATTAATATTTGCAATTCAATTCTACATTTGTTGTTAAATATAGTCTCTTTAAATATTTTAAATTTAATGAATTAGTAAAGCTAAAGAAATTTGACGCAATTTTACTGCATTTGCAGCTAACTTTATGCATGTTATTCTCGTTTAAGATAGTTTAACTAACATTTAATAAGTAAAATAACACTGAACATAAGTTCCTATAAAAGTATTAGTGTGATATCGTAAAAACCAAAAGTGTGTTTTATTTATTTTTTTTATTTAAGTGAATTTCTGTTTTGTACAATATTTATCTCTCTCTGTAAATGTGATAATCATTTACTTTACGAAAAACAAACTTAGTTTTCTATATTTTGGAAATTTATTTCATTTATAAATTTTGTTTATAGCGTATTATTTTGTTAAGTGATAGATTCATATTAATTATATGAATAACTTATTTTATTTTATAATACAAAAGATCTGCGCTATATATAAAACAATTATAATAAAAACTGGAAGTATTGCAGTTATACGTAATATTAAAACCAAAGATGTTAGAGTGATCTTTTAATTTAATTTTTAATATACAGTATTACTCTCGTCCTGCAACAAGTTTCTTTTTATTAATTTTAAAGAGATATCAAAAGTAGACATCGCAGAACGATACAGTTTCACGCCAAGTGTTTAGAACTTTGTAACTGATTGAGCATAGTAATAACAAAAACATATAATTTGTGAAAGTTAAGTTTTGTAATCTTGATAACGCACCAGCAAATCTACTTGCATTAACTTTGTTAATTTATGAAAACATCGTATTACTTCGACGATACATTACTGTGAAAAAAAAGAAATATTTGTTGTATGAGATTTTATGTGATATAGTATTAATAAATATAACTTGGTTTTTGTGAAAGAGATATTGTTTTCATATTTTCAAAATGAGATATGCATATCATGTAGAATAATCCGGAAATGGTTTTATATCTGCATTTTATACATGCATTTCTTGGCGCATAATAATTGAAATTACCTTTTTTCCGATGTCTTCGATTTGCAATGTCAAACGTAGTTATTGCAGTGCTGCTAGATGGAACGCTTTCTTCGCGCTTGCGCAACGCATCTAGCCACTCCAGCGGTCACTGGCCATATAATACTAATATATCGCTAGCGTGTATCTTCGCAATGAAAGGCACGCATGAGGCACGAGACCCGAGAAAGAGAGACCTAACCCAAAAAACTTAAGTCGGTATTTCATGAATCCGATCGTCGGATTGTCCAATGATCAGAATAGTTCGTAGTGCGCATGCGTATAGTCACAACGAGATTTTGTCATATGAATGCTCAAGAATAGTAACCTCTCTATACACTGTATAATCAATAGTCACTTCCGGCGCCGAACACAGTGTATTAGATTTTTTTAATTATTTGTAAGATATAGCAGATATTTGTTTGACATTTATAAATCATACGAGAAATATTTTTGTATGGAATATAATAGTCTGCAAATCGTAATAACAAACAACTCACCTGCCAGATATCAACAATTTATTGTTTGATTGTGTTTGCGAGGGACTATTTCTCTCCCAACGCCATGACATCGTTCGTAACATTCTCTTCCTGCTTCCTTTAGCTACCTGCTCGTCACGGCGACTACGTGTACTTCTTGGCGTCGGCAGAGAAATCCATTCTAGTACTAGTAAAAGTTAAAGGAGTTACGGAAAAACTAGTGTCCACGTTTTCTTCTTGCAATGTAAGTTGATATAAAATCGATATACATAATAAATCTCTCTCGTTAATATTTCTTTGTTATTTCATGTTCTGTTACCTACTTGCTTTATGTTAACTCGTACGCCATTTTGTGAAACTTCTCGCGTTGTTACTCAGCAATTGAGTCGGGAGAGAAATCCACCGATGGTTATTTACAAAATTAATTGTTATATTGTTTTTGTTCTATTAAAATTTTTATATTCTTTTTGTTCTAAATAAGGGCGTACGGTGAACGAGAACGTACAGATAGACGCGGAGGAGGTGGAGGAGCTGGTAGTAATGCACGCGGTGGTGGCCGATTTGGTGGAAGAGATGGTGGCGGAGGAGGCAACAGATTCGGAGGTGGACACAAAGACAGCAATTTCGGAAGCAACAATTTTAAAAACCGTCAGCCTGGCGAACGTCTACGCAAACCGCGTTGGGACATGGGCTCTCTTCTACCATTCAGGAAAGATTTTTATCAGCCACATTCCAATGTAACGGCACGAAATGTTCACACAGTGGAGGCTTATCGTTCCAATAAAGAGATCACGGTGAAGGGGGCCAACATTCCGAGTCCTAATATTTTTTTTGAAGAGGGTGGCTTTCCAGACTATGTTCTCAATGAGATTCGGAGACAAGGATTTGGTGAGCCAACTGCAATTCAAGCGCAAGGTTGGCCCATTGCCTTGTCTGGTCGAGACATGGTTGGTATTGCACAAACAGGTTCAGGAAAAACATTAGCATATATCTTGCCAGCAATTGTGCACATAAATAATCAACCTAGATTGAGTAGAAATGATGGTCCAATTGCTCTTATATTGGCTCCAACGAGAGAATTAGCACAACAAATTCAACAAGTAGCTTCTGATTTTGGAGTTTCCTCACAAGTTCGAAATACATGCATTTTTGGTGGTGCTCCTAAAGGACCTCAAGCACGTGATCTTGAACGTGGTGTAGAAATTTGTATTGCCACACCAGGTCGACTCATAGACTTTTTGGAACGTGGTACTACAAATCTACGTAGATGTACATATCTAGTACTAGATGAAGCCGATAGAATGCTAGATATGGGTTTTGAGCCACAAATTAGAAAAATAGTAGAACAAATACGTCCTGATCGTCAGACTCTCATGTGGTCGGCAACATGGCCGAAGGAAGTACGTAATCTTGCAGAAGAGTTTTTAACAGATTACATACAAATCAATATTGGTTCCTTGCAACTAGCTGCCAATCACAATATCTTACAAATTGTTGATGTATGCGAAGAATATGAGAAAGAAGGTAAACTTATGAAGCTTCTAGAAGAGATTTCAAATGAACCAGAAAATAAAACTATAATATTTGTGGAAACTAAAAGAAAAGTTGACGATATAACAAGAGCTATTAATAGATATGGATGGCAAGCAATTGGCATTCACGGAGATAAAAGCCAACAAGAAAGAGATTACGTACTAAACCGTGAGTGTTATTACTATGTATGACGAATTAAATATATAGTCGTAATTTTAGTTTTATTTAAGGAAGAATATAAATGATACACAATGTATTTTTCTTCTTTACGTTTATTTAAAAAAAAAAAATCGTATATTTTAGTTTGTAACATTTTTTTATAACGTTAGATTATTTGTAATATAATTGATGTTTTAGAGTTCCGGAATAGCAGGTCTGCTATCCTAGTGGCTACCGATGTGGCAGCAAGAGGTTTAGGTAAGAATCTACTGATACCTGGATATGATGTAAGGGTCAGGCTGCGATGGTTATTTCACATTTGTGAGTCTTGATATTGTAATGTGGCAACGGATAACGGCATGTGCCAGACTGATTGACGTTACTCCCTTACGAGTGTGGCTGTATATAATTCAATGAACTCATTGAAGGAATTCCAGAAACAACTAGTTTCAAACTAGACTCAAATTTTCCACTTTTGATTTCACCATTGACATATTTCGTTTGACATCTTCCGTTTGACATTTTTCATTTCATTAATTTTAAGCTAATTCTCTCTCCTACCAACTAATTTTTTATTTGGAAACTTCATCGATCAGTGGTGCATTTGAATGCACCAAAATAATTAACATCGCCATTGTCTTTTCAGTGATACGATTAATGAGGGAATAAGTTTTAATTATTCTGTTATCTTCTTCTAAATCTCAACTTCTTTTATTGTAGGCTAACACAAATAGATTTTGACGTTCTTCATATAGTTTTGCACATGCATATAAATAGAACATGTGAAAACTCAATTTAAATGGTTAAAACATAGTATAAAAAAGAAATGCATGTAAGAAGAACGTCAAAATATTTCAGCTGTAATATTAAGTATACAAGGTAAGCGGTTAGGCAGGTTTATCTTTTCCGATTTTCTACTCTCAGATCGAATCAAGTTCTGTCAGTCTGGTGTTAACGTGCTGTTCTGTTTTCAGAGGCACATGCGATGGAGTCTTAGGACTCTGCAGAACTTTGCTTTGGACAAAGTAATTGAACGGGGCGTGACTGCTGGTCGCCGCCCCCTACAACTAACGCTGTGCCTCGGTCACCTTGCCACACGAAAAACACTCTCTGTACCTGCGACGATCCAAAGTATGGAAGTAATAATGTTAGGGCAGTTAGCATAAGAAGACGGAAAAAACAGGATAGATATTGCCGGTTTTATTCGTTCGATTGCAATAACAAATTGCATCAAGTTGCGCTTTGCAGTAATTGTGACACCCTAAACAATGATCAAGAAACAGTCTCAATATCTTATAGGCATGTTACAAACATAATTATTATAACATACAGTAGCTTATGCCACTTTATTAGTTATAAAAAAATCAAATTGTTTAAAATTTAGAATAACTCGCAGACAATTCAATTGTTGAGTAACTTTAGTTATTCGCGGAATAATGTAGTAATTATTAATAATAACTACAGTATTCAAGCATGTGAAAGAGTCTTCACAATATTGCGGCGCGTAATTCTTGATGCAGTAACTTGTTCAATGGAAGTACATGTGGGGGTTGAGCGGAGAACGCAAGATGCTCACTTGGTGTTCCAACCTCTTCACCGAAGCAATGTACGAGGGCCAAATTTCGAAATAGCCAGCAGAGATCCATACTTTGGTGCGGGAGAGAAGGGTGTAATCTAAGAATAAAAATGTAGAGCTCGCTAATACGTGAAGCGAGAATTCCATGAGAACCATCTGAGCTCTGATTCCTCTACATTTCCAAAAAATGTATTTACATTTCCAGCTTTAGTCTCAAAACAGGTAATTAACATAAGACTTGCTCTTTGTGGTCAACTTACTTGAATGTTGTGCGAATTGCAAATGGAACTAAAGGTATTTTATTGTACAACTTGAAATATGTGTTATATTTGAGATAACTTTTGTTTTTTTTTTGTCATTTTTTATATCTTAAAGTTTCACACAAACGTACAGAAATATTGTTTTGAAAATAAGAAAAAAAACAAAACAAAAAACGAAGGAAGTTTAATGTTCTATGTACATTGTAATGACTGTTATTTTTTTAAGACTTGGAATAAATTTACTCACAATGGTAATGTAAGAACAGATTGTTCTTTAATTCCATTAGCAAAACTAGTTATCTGGTAAAATGCTTGAATCACAATTCGCTTTATAAGATAACTGAACCACAAAGGAACAAGCATTTTTTATATTCTGCGATTATAACTTACTGTATTATGTAGATGTCGAGGATGTCAAATTTGTAATAAACTTGGACTATCCGTCCAACTCAGAGGACTATGTACACCGTATCGGGCGTACGGGACGCTCGCAACGAACAGGAACAGCGTACGCATTTTTCACTCCTAGCAATGCACACAAGGCTAGTGATTTAATTCAAGTTTTAGAAGAGGCTAAGCAAGTTGTCAATCCAAAATTATACGAGTTGTCTAGAAATCCTGGCGTTTACAAAAGTAAATATTTCACTTTTATATTAAAATTGAAGATGTCAAAAAAATAAATTTAAGTACTATTTGTAATATTCTGTTTTGCAACAATTATAGGAGGGCGATATGGCGGGCGTAGCGGCGGAGGTGGCGGACGAGGGTCCGGAGGCCGCGGTGGCGGCCCACGAGGCTCTCGAGGTGGCCGCGATGGCGATAGGGGTGGAAGATTTGACCGTTCTTCCGGTAGTACTAACGACCGCGGCAAATGGGTCGGAAGTAGTAGCGGTAGGCTTTCAAAATACATGAAAAATGGTATTACAACATTGTAAACGTTCGCTTCCCCACGGACCACAGGCGGAATAAGCGGAGGTAGCTACGGTAGCAGTAAATCGTTTCCACAAAACAACTTTGGAAGTGGAACTGCTGGCGGTAACTCTACTTATAGCCAGAATAATAGTGGGTACGGCGGAGGCAGTTACAGACAACAAAACGGCTATTGATATCAAGTCAATAATGTCAAGTGGATATGGTAACAAAAAAGAGAACAAAGAAAAAAAATGTTTGTTCGGTACACAGTAAATGTATATCTCGCGTATAGATGGGTCCAGAATCGCTCAGAATCGTTCCGAAACACTTCACGCTCACATTCTCACTATTCACAGCATTCGCTTTCTTTTTTTTCTTTCAAATCTTTAGTATACATAAGAAATCATAGTAATGATGTTATGAAACTGCGGCAATCTCATGTATTAGCGTAGATATTTAATATTTAAACAGTCAATTTATTGCCGAGGCATGTAGTATTATACGAACAATAAACTATCATAATAATATAACAAAAGAAAATTATGTTTCTCGTTGTATGTATGTGATTTCTCTTAACGTTCCTTCCCGATTTCCAGACAACATTTATCTTGATGAGTTACAAGTGCGATCAAATGAGTCATGATGCGATGTGTTTACGATAGACCTAGCATGATGAAGACTTATCTTGAATTACGTTATTTGAAATAATGCTAATGTCATTTTCAAACCATCTATCCATGATAATTATTCATTGCCGAGTCTGGCAGAAGACAAGTGCCTTCATTTATTGGTTGAACCGGTTATCAAGAATCATACGATCCCGATATCAGAATGTCAAGTAAAATCCCCTTCCAGATATATTCTCTTCCACGAATTATCGCGTTAAAATAAAATATCAGACTTGTCTGTCTGCTAATTATTCTCTATTTTACCAGAGAATCAAACTATTTAATCGAATTTTTGAAGTATGCATAAATTACTTAAATGTGTTATTTATCAAAAAATGTATTGGTATATTTTTTCCCTTACATATACATGTGATTACTCAAAAGAAATATTGTTTTAAGATCTCGTTGAGTTTTGTCTTTATTGTTATTGCGCGCCAATTATCATCGATTATATGCACACAAGCAGCGATTAAATATTCAAGTAGTAGACACCTTTTTCACGCACACGGCCCTGATATCGAAATCAGTTCACGGACGTGGGAGGGGACATGCAAGAATTTAAAAGCGACGCGTGACAGCGACGCGCGCAGTCGGTTCGAGGCGGCAACCGCAATCGGTAGTGATTATTGTCGAGGTTAACCTGCAGTTTGCTAACGTCATCCACGACGACGCGACACAGAGGAAAAACAATCCGGCGATCCACGTACATATCGAAAGCGCGCGCACAAACGTCAGCTTCGTTATCATGACTGAGGAGACACGTAAGGAGGTTCGTGTTTGGTGCGACGGATGGTGAGTAACAGGAATACGTTGCGGAATTTATGTTATATTGCGCGTACTATAACGAAATTTGTGGGTGGTCAGGATGTGCCTCAAGTGTCACTGATAAACGCTGCGTATCAGCAAACCGGGTGCACAAGTGACACCCACGTGTCGGTTCTTGCTCCCTATATCGTGACACATACGTGTAACTTCGTATGTAATTGTCACTTGTGAACACCCACAAACGTAATTTATCTGTAAGTTATATATAAAAACAAGAAAAAAGAAGAATATCTTCTTTTAAAGTCTTTTGTTAGTCTTCATTTCAGTTTAAGAAAAATATATTTGCTAAATTTACAAATCAATACGCCAAAATCAGGCTTTACGCACGATTGACACGATAAAGGTTTAATCAGCAATATCTGATTGGAACCGATGCATCGCGTCGAATCCGTAATTCATCTGTGAGACATGCATTTTCGCTCCGTTTTTAGATGAAATGGAGCACATCGCTACAAATGATAGATGGCTTATATTGAGCGTTTTAGCGCCAAATTTAAGTTTGTGTGCGCGCTGCAGTTAGATTATACGAATAAAATCTCTTGTCTTATCGACACACTAAATATACGGAATAAAAATAAATTACTACATTTGTCCATATTGATTCGTCGTCAGTGAAAGCAAACCACAAGAACTCAACCAGACTGACGATTTAAGAATATATAAAAAGACGTAGAAACACATTTTTATACATTTAATATTAAGACATCTTACATATCTTTTACAAATTTATTGATTTATCTATTTTCTTTAGATAAGTGTTTACTTGTAAACAATAGAAGAATCATTACTTATTGGACATATTGCGACTTATTGTTGAATAGTTTCGATTTATTATTATCGCTAGCCGCCGTGATTGATATCGTTATCGGAACAGTTTTTAAGTCAAGGTCCAGTGATAGTGTATTTTTCACAACTCTTTCATTAAAATGTGTTGTTGTGTGAAAATTCGATAATGACGATAAAAAGTTTTTAAACTTTTCCAATTCGATCGAACGCAATGCGAAAATATCTTTAATGTATTTGATTTAAATGCAAGTCAAAATTATCAAAAATAGAATATGTTGTTTGCAGTTATGATATGGTACATTTTGGACATGCAAATTCTCTGAGGCAAGCTAAAGCTTTAGGAGATTATTTAGTGGTAGGCGTTCACAACGATGAAGAAATTACAAGACATAAAGGTCCACCGGTCTTCACCGAGCAAGAAAGGTATTATATTTCACTCTGCTACTTTACTGCAGAACATTACATAAGACACAATGAAAATCTTGATTGTCATTCTGTAGTTGGTTATTATGTGTTGATCAATCTTTCAAACTCTATATTTTTGGTTTTGCGAAACGCTAGTTGTCAGTCTAAAATTATCAATATTTCCACATATATCGTGCAATAAACTACGTAATGTGTATATACAGTTATCAAACCTCGATAACTCGAACCTCTATAACTCGAAAACCTCTATAAAACGGAAATTTTTTCATTCCGCTTCGCGGAAAGGAAAAAAAACTTCGATAAATCGAAACCTCTACAATTCGAAGATTTTACCTCTTCTCTTGAGATTCGAGTTATCAAGGTTTGACTGTAGGTTCGACTTCATTTTATTCACAAATTTACTAAAAAAAACACGTCTTCCACTTGTGTTTTGCATTAAACGATATTGATTTGCAATTTAATGATGATGATGTAACAGAAAATTCCTTCATCTTCGGTTGAAAAACTATTTGAAAAAAATTTTATATTGTGAAGACGTAATCTTATCTACAAGCACGAGTAGAAAAGTTTTTGTATTACAGAACCTTGACAAGTTTAAGCCAAAGTCTATAGAAAACATTTGTAAGAGAGACCTTGCTTTGTCACTTCCATTTATATTGTACGTTATTATAATTGAAAGAGCTAATGTATGATACTTATCTACGTAACACTTACTCATCAAGTACGTACTACACATCTATTAAAACATCTCTATATAGTTTCTTTTATTACTCAGGTACAAAATGGTGCGCGGTATTAAGTGGGTAGATGAAGTAGTCGAAGCAGCGCCATACGTCACTACGTTAGAAACATTAGACAAGTACAACTGTGATTTTTGTGTTCACGGCGATGATATTACAATGACTGCTGATGGTGTGGATACTTATCACTTGGTCAAAGCAGCCGGACGTTACAGGTAGTATATTTTTGAAACAATTTCTGAGAAGAGAACAATTCAATATATATATAAATGCAACTTTTATCAAATATTTTACACTTTTTATTGGAAAGAATTTTTATTATTTCAGAGAAGTTCAGCGAACGGCTGGCGTTTCAACAACTGACCTTGTAGGACGTATGCTGCTGATGACACGACAACATTTTCGGCAAGGCGATAACGAATATAGCGTCGACCGTGAGCCGAGTAAGCGCATGGGGCAAGACCGTACTGCTCGAAGTCCGTGGACTGGCTGTTCGCAATTCTTGCCGACTACACAAAAAATTATACAATTCAGTGACGGCAAGAGTCCACAACCAAATGACAAAATCGTGTACGTGGCGGGAGCATTCGATCTTTTTCATGTGGGACATTTAGATTTCCTGGAAGTCGCCAAGAAGGAGGGCGACTATCTTATAGTCGGTTTACACACCGATCCCGCAGTTAACCGATACAAATGTGGCAATCATCCTATTATGAATCTTCATGAGCGAGTTCTGAGTGTGCTTGCATGCAAGGTAAAATCTGCTTATAATTCAAGATATGCGATGCAAACTTATATGACACAGAAATAAAAAAAAAAGATAAAGTTTTGCATATAAGGAAGATACGTTTATTTTAAAATATATATACAAGATTACGATAGTGATAGTTTTATATCTGTTTTCATGTCTTGTTTTGTATGTTTACAATATCTTCTTTGCATTTTTATATAGTATGTAAATGAAGTTGTAATTGGCGCGCCGTATGAGGTGACGAGAAACTTAATGGAACATTTTAACGTCTCTGTTGTGTGTCACGGACAAACGCCTATAATGCCCTGCGAGGATGGTTCAGATCCATACGCAGAACCCAAGAGACAAAATAAATTTAAATTGTTAGATAGCGGCAATGACATGACTACGGAAAAAATTGTTGAAAGGATTATTCTTCACAGGTATGCGTTATTAAGTAGAATTAACACATATTTCATCAATTTTATACATTTTATTCTAGAAATTCCCAGTTTCAATTGATATATATTGTACTTTTATAATTTATATATTTTGCAAACAACTGTTTAATTATTGAGAAATCTTCGAGTTAATGATTTTTTTAAACATTAAATTACATATTGTCTCACAATAAGTTTTTCAATTTGATTAAATAGAAAGTAAGACTCGTTTTCGTAAGTTAATTATTCACATTCCACTTTTTATCTCTGTAGGCCGAACGAGCTTTGTACGATTATTAAGAATTTCAACAAACGTTGATATGTCTGATTATTTTGCGAAGTCCGATTTATTTTGTGTCTTTTATTTCATTATCAAATACTTTGACACACGTTAATAGAATAAATCCAGTTGTTTTGTATTCTCCATTCAGTTTACAATAAACACATGTTTATCCACTTTACATTAAAATTTGTTCTCTTGTTGATTTATTGATTTTTCTGATGGGATATGTAATTTTAGTTTTTTGTACAAAATGTTTTTTTTCTTGAATTTACAGTTCTCGCGTCACTCTTATTATTTATTGTATGTTCACGGTACAATGACTTCTACTTGTAATGATAACATGTACAACACATATCCCAACAAATATGAATATCCCTGTCACGTGTTGATCTAGCGTCTAATTGCAGGTTGGAATACGAGGATAGAAATTTAAAGAAGGAGAAAAAAGAACTTGCCGCTTACGAAGCCTTCACGAAGTCTAAGAAAAATGACAAGATTGAATAATTATTTGTTTTTTTTTTCGTGCGGGAACGTTTGCAACGCATACGTGTGATATATAATCAGAGTTTTTGAATATTAACATCATATGGAAAAACCAAAAATATGATGTCATACTTATAATTACTTTATTATGACATTCGAAATGCCTTACATAGCCAAAGTAAATATTTATTGGTCATTTAACATGCTGGAAATATCAATTATAACAGTATGCATGGATATTTGTCGATTTTAATTTGTTGCAATGTGCAGCAAAAAATGATACACACGACAACAATTGTAAAATCGGAGAAACATTTTATGCTAAGTGTATCAGAACTGTTGCCATTTGTTTTCTTTGTCTATTAATATTTTTTCTCACGAACTAATTATTATTAAATCATTGTTGTGAGGAACATAATTCAGTACTATATTTCAAGTTTTATTCGAGTTCAAATTTAGTTAAGGAGGTCCTTTCTCCAGACAGAATTGAGATAATTTAACTTGAAATATTTATTTCTAGTCGTGGACAATAGTTTTGGAACAGCTTACATATGTATCTCGACATATCTCTAAAGACAAAGGTTGTCTCAAAGATATATCGTGCATTGTGGAAGTCTTTGAATGTAGTTGTGCTTAGTGTAACTATCATCATCTTGCACGATATAAACGTTGTGATGTCGTTTCTTGATACAACTTGAAAATAATTGTCGACTAATCATGCAAGTTATGTGTTGTAGAAATCCAAAATCAATATTTTTTTCAGAATTGTTGAATTCCAACTAATTATACTTATACAATAATTTTAATAGTATTTTTATTGTTTTTGTCAGTTTGTTTGCTTTTTACTGATATTACAAAACTTACGATTTATTCGGAATATCATTTAGTTGGAGCCTTCGAAACCCTTTAAACACAATTACTATACGTGAATATTATCAAATTAATATGTATGCATTAATATAATTTATTTATACTTGTCTAATTTATATTGAATATGTTCGAAATTAAGTTAAGAAATAGTTGTGCAATGTAAAAATGTATATTTATATATGCGACAGACTTTTATGTGTTTAAAATCATTGCAATCTGGGAAAGATTACATATACGAATATTTTATAATTATTTATTCAATAATTATAAAATAGTCGAGATTAATGAAAAAAACTTGAGTTTCAATTCGGTCTAATTAATCACAAGTTCCTAAGCTCACTTAATACGGTTTATAAAATAATCTGATCAAGTAATCGATTATTTTCGCGACAAGCACGTTTATCGAGCACGTTATAATGCATAATAATGTAAGTATTAGATTTTTCTAATACAAACTTTTAGTGTACCGTTTATCTAAAATTGTCAACGGAACCAAAGAAATTAGCTAGAAACGATTTACTAGATTACACAGGAAAAAAGAGATTATATAGTTTTTGATTTTCTATACAAGAAAATTGAAGCTGAATAAAAATTGTACTGCGCAGAATTGTTTGATCGTTTATTTTATAATAATTAATAAATAGTCACATTGTACATATTATAGTCAGTCTATAATGAATGTTACTGTATTAAATTTTTTAAGTGTCTTCACGGATCTTGCTAAAACTTGATTATTATATTCTCAGAATCACGGTTACATGTTATTTTATGACAAAGCTTTTTGTCTTTTTTTCTTTTTCTCTGCAGTTATTATTATTAGATATTTTATAGCACAGACTCTTTTATACAAATTTTAATGCGCCTCAGCATCGCAAATTTATTATTATTATAATATATGTTGTATATCTCACACTTTTCCACTATAGAATATAATATTTTTTTAATTATTTACTCACAATTACGAAGAGCAATTGACAAATATCCGAAACGAAAAGCCAAACAATAATTTATTCGATTGAAATGTATTTATTTTTTAATATAATCGCCTTCTGTACATGGATATATTTTGATCAACGCTTTTCGAGAACACTTATTTTGCTTTGATAGAACGATTTCTCAAGCTTTTTGAAATTGTATTATTATATCGATAACTTCATTGGTGCTCGAAAATTTTTGTCAGCCGAGCCATTTTATTAGATTCGGAAATAAGTGAAAATCGCACAAACCCATATCTGGCGAATCTATGTCGCTATTTATATGCATCGTTTTAAATATTTACCAATCATCTTTCGTATTATATAATAATTCCAAATAATGTTTTATTCATCCTTTATTAAAACATTTAAAATTACACACAATATATTATTTTATAAAATCACTATATATATTATATTATATATAGAAAGCATTTTTTTCGCGTATTGTGAAAAGAGTTTGCTGTAAAATGCAAACATTTTACCGCATGTGTTTATTTACAAGGTGAGATAAATTCGTGCAACCACCCAAAATGTCCCGTCGAGTTTCTTTGCGTTCGGCAAAGTTCTTATCCTATGTATTAGGCGAGCGATCAATGGATCTTCTCGCTTGATCAGGTCACGTGATAGCATTGCACGTTCGAGAGACTCGTCGTAGTGAGACTATCTTCTGTATTTGAGCAATATCGACAGACAGTGAAACCTTCAATAGAAATTGCATCGTGTGTGTGCGCGACACACATTCGCGGAAAATCGTATATTAAAAGCTATCAATACTGTAATTCTTTAACCCAGAAAAGAAGTATTTAAGTCAAAGAGAAGTCCATTTTTGTATAATTAAATAGCAAAGTTATTTTGCTTCTTTTACATTAAAAAAAAATGTTTCTCTTTCTTTTCAGATTACAAAAATACTTAAGATACAGAAAATTAAATATCTAAAAAGAGAGAGTAAAAAGAAAGAGAAAAATTCTGTTTGTGTTTATGTAGAAGAATTATGTTAATTAATTGATAAATTGTCAGAAAAACGTAAATACGTGACGTATAAAACATTGTATCTACATTGCAAAATAGTGAACAATGCTTTATCGGCGTATTTTTACGTTTAGCGCGAAGATCCCTTTTTCATAAATTGTCAGTTTATCTTCAATTTAACCGCTCTATCATTAACACACACAAGTCTCAGACTTGTGATTTACTTTAATATGGGAATAAACATATTTTTGTTTGCCAGCGTTCTCGAGCATCTTACGTCATGAAAACTATTTTTGTTCCACACGATGAGCAGTGTCATCGTGTTTGCTCGCGCGTGTTCGAACGTTACTCGAAATCTCCGTAAAATTTTTATTCTCGATTTAGAATCATTTCTGTAGCGTATGATATTATGCTACGTAATACTTAAAATGTGCCCCGTTATATATCTTTGAAGTAGGACAAGTTTTTTGCGACAGTAGAAAATTAAGCGGCTTATGCGAATGTATCGCCGTCTTTCTAAACTCCTCGCAAAACGATATGTCGATCATCCTAGTTCCAAAGCTTTAACGTTACATCGAAAAAACATATAGTATACGCCGATACATGCACCACGTCGCGTAAAGCAGTTTACATTCTGCAAAGAATATACTTTCGTGGATGACGAAGAGTATACTTTCGCATCTTTCACAGTCGTGATAATTCTCTTCATTGCACCGTTGAACGTCCGGTGTAACCGGGCGTAGTGTCACAATATTTTCTGGTACGATCCCGGACCAGCTCATCGATAGACTTGTTTTGCTGCATTGTCGAGGACAGGTTGTGAAGACGTGACGCCAGGTAGCACATGATAAAGGCCGATAACACCAGCAGAGCGCCCAATCCGGTCGCCACGTAAAGGAAATTCCCGCAACTGCTTTCGAGACCGGCTGCCACTTTGTCGTACAAATCTATGATAATGAGGATAACATTTAATTAGAATTACAGTGATCGTCGCGCCCCCTCTTCTCCCATTATTGACGCTCGATTAATCTTGATGCATTTGTCGAATATCAATCACGTATTAGTGTCTCAGTCTCGCGTAAATCTGATCATAAAAATCTAATCGTACAAATTGTATTAATCTGTTATATATCAAAGTGTGTAAACTCGATCTATAAACTGGATTTATTTTAATAAATGTTATGAAGTGTATTATACCCGTACTTATAATAATTGGATATTGTTTTAAATAGATTAAATAGAAAATAATATTTAATAGAAAAAAGTTTTAAATAGATTTTCAAGATTATTATATATTGATCACCAAAGAAAATTGCGAATTCCTCGACCTGAACGACTTACCATCCGGCATCATCACCGTGTACTCGATGTTCTCTTTGAACTTCGTGTACGGAGTAGAATCGTTGTACCGTTTGATCAGACGCTCGACCCTCGGAAGGAATTCGGCCGAAGCTTCTACATTCGCCTCGACCGCCGCTCTCTTCTTTTTTCTCCCGTGTCCCGATGGTTCGAACAAATCGAGGCAAAAGTCCTGTGAAGACGGAAAAGCTAACAAAAAACTGGAACTCCTCAGATGCCGTTGGATATAGATTCAACAAAGAGCATCGTTTCGTTTCCTACCGGTTGACAATCCTGCGGTTCCATGCAAGCCTTGATCTGCGAGTGGATCCAGAGGGTGGAGCGTTCCCTCATCGAGCTCAGCAGAAAAGCTTCGAAGTCGAGGAAAACTTCGTTTTTGCGATCGCGATACCTCGCGGGTTGATGCGGAATGATGGACGCGAAGTCGCGGTTCCTGCAGCCGTCTTTGACGAGCACAACGCTGCCAGGAGCATGGGGTTGATCCGGATCCGGACTAACAGTTACCTCGAGCAGTTTGATGTAACCCCAAGCGCTGTCCGAACTGATACGTGCGCGTAGCTGCAGCTTTGTGCCGATCGGCACCGCCTGATCGACCGTTTGCGAATTGTCGGACACGTTGCCCGTCGCCTCGCGATAAAGAGCCACCTCATACTCGAGCCTGCCCGGCGTCTCCTCCACTACGCCGGACACCCTGGCGCCGTGCGGACTGAAACGATTAACCCTTTAAAGCAGACGTGCGTCGTCGCTTCAGCACGTTGTTCTGTGTGTCTTGCGTATGTTATTACTTGAAACTGTGTATCGCATGTTTCTATCTCGTGCACACACTAAATGTATATTTCGCACAAACATAAAAAAAAATGTTAAAATATATGACTATTACAAAGAAATCATTATGTAATTATCAAAATGTTCTGTGAAGGAATAATTGTTTCCTTGATAATGAACCACACGCAGGAATGCGCTCCGACGAACATAGCGGAAATAATGGTTTATTACGCGAGATTCGACAAGATATCGTGCATACGGAAAATTGACGCGAATGACTTACAAAGTGCCGGCGAAGCCAGCGGCCTTGTGTCTGAGCAGCGTCGGCTCGGGCGGACGGCACATCAGGATCAGTTCCTGATCGGCCAGCATCACCACGCCGGGGAAGGCGGGAAACCACACTCGCAGATGAATGAATCCCTAATACATGAGTAATTGTTATTTATCATTGCGTGTCACACACAGCTATTGATACACAACTATTTGATCTACCGATCACATGTTTTTAATGTTAGCAGTTTTCTGAAGGCGTCTAATGAAGCGCGGTGTATAATGGATTTAAATATGATCCTTACACCATCTTTATTATTTTGCGAAATGGATTCAGAGACGAAGTGATACAGTCAAGCGTGATTTATTACCAGTCACAAGTTACACCGCGAACATCGTTAACTGATATCTCTCTTTGCAATATTATTATAACGGCATTTAATGACGATACAATCCAATTGAATTCAATGCGCTCCTATATATATATCGGCATTTACAATAATAGTTTTCAACCGGGGGAATTGGTAGTCTCTATCGACCGTACAATCTGCGAAAGCTATTCCGTTCCAAGAGATTCTGTTTGTGCAACGTCAGCTACAAGATTCTCGAGCGAGAACGCATCATTGGACCCTCTCGTAAAAAAAAAGAAGACAGTTCCGCGTAACTCGCGCACACGGCCTGGATGACTCACGTTTCTCTTGAGGATGCCGCATCGGGAGAAGTCAGTCACCTTCAGGAAGTAGTTATCCTCTTGCGGATCGTTCGGGTCTGGTCTGATCTGGCAGTGAATGTCGGCGAGCGGATTCGCCGATCTATCGTCGGCGAAGAGCGGCGCGCCTCTGAAGCCGACCGGCCTTTTGATTTTCGCTGTCAGAAGATCGGCCGCCGATCCCGCGCCGCTGCACTGAATGTCCGAGACCTCGTAATCCTGGGCAACGGTGGCGGCAACCTGAAACGCGAGCCGATCCTGATATTGCGGCCATCAGAAGAATCGGCGGCAGCGTGAGATTTCAGGGCGTGCGCACGTGCGGTCGAAACCGCTCATCTCTTTCTGCAGCGTTCGGTTTTAGTACCTTCTTTCTTATTATTTATTATCGCGATACTGTCGTACATGCGCACACACATAAACAAAGATTGCTTTGTAATAACGTAACTGTTTCAGTAATGTAAGATCACATTTTGCTTTAAACTTTTTTCTTTGTTTTAGAGTAAATATTTCATATATTTTTGTAATAAAATAAATTTAAATCAACAATCTCACAAGTTACAATATTGCGACATTTAGTTTGGCAGTCTTTTTATTTTTTGTTGTTTACTTTCGAGTTTACGCACTTGTCAGGAAAAGATATTTCGAGCAGTGTGCGTGAAAAAAAATATGTTACGTCGCATTTTTACGGAATAAAAATATTTTGATTAATTGATTAAAATGCAGCAGAGAGAGAGAGAGAGAGAGAGAGAGAGAGAGAGAAACATCGCGCGCACGTTAGTTAGTGTAAAACTTTGTTTTTGTTTCGCATATAGTTAAATGATATATGTACATACATGATCCCGTGAAATATTTTTATCGAACTTTTCCGTTCCGTGTGCATTTATCCAAACACATCATTTTGAGAGGCTTGCTGATGTAATTTTCAAATATTAGTTATCCCGTCATGATGATATCACTCGTTAAAATGATATTATAACGGGCAGCATAGCGTGGATACTGCTGCATGATGGTTGCACATAGCAGAGCGATAACTTACGCGTATGTAGCCGCGTATATTCGGCTCGTAAATAGAATCGTACATTTACCGTGAACTTGCGTAAATAGCGGCTAAAACCTAACAACCGTATTGTTCTGTAACTGTTATGCAGCCAACATTCTTATTCACGGTAATTTACTGCCGTTCAGTCGCGGCACTATAGCGGATCGCGCATTATTTTCAATTTTAACCAGATTTACTTTCTAACTTAGAAAAACTCCATTGCCCCGGTTTTGCCAAAAAATTGAACGAGCACCCTAATAGATTCGAATCTTCTTTTTTTCTTTTTTTTCTTTTCAAGCAGTGCGGTTTTACGAGGTCGAGGTAATATGGGCCGAGTCAAATCCGGAACGCTTGATATGCTATATAGTTGTTTAAAATCCGAGAAAGAAGAAGCTTCTCTCTTTTCATTCGCTTATTGTATTTAAATCTCCATTCGCACATCCATTTGTTCATTCATTTTATTTAGAATGTATATGTATATATACATATATATCTGTACAAGCAATACGAATATGTGAATGATCATTATTACAGCCGTCTTTTACTCTTAATTTTTTTGTTTTGTATCAGCGAGTTTTCTCGGTCGTTTGCCTTACAGAAGCGCGAAATAAAATGAAACAAACGTTTATTATACTCGGAGCTTGCGTGTCTTCTTCTATCTTTTTCTTCGCGAAGTAAACGCGATATAAAAACGATTACATTTCTAATTAATCAACGTTGCGATATTCGCGCCTTTCATTGGTCACAGCGCTCGCATTAATTATATCGCCATGAAAGACCCCGCTCGAAGTGACGATCTCTTCGTGCTGACGACGTTTACAACGCCATTACGTTACCATTGGCAAGGAACAGGGTGACCAGCACGCGACCAGAACCAAGAACCCACTTCGATACGGGTAACGGTGTAAGGAAACGCTCTGGTGGCCGCATAAGATATTCGTTATGTATACTATCCACGATTATATATCGCACGGGCGTCCATCGCACTGCTCATCGTACAGGTCGTGATAGGCCGTATTTTTTTGAGATACAATTCTCCGCTCACGATCATGCCGTATCGTGCGGATATCAGATCGGCCCACATGTGCATTCATTGCATCTATTACGCAGATGTGTCCGTCGTGAATTGCGAAGAGATGAAGAATGATTATCGACGAGGCGATTGTCGCGTATTGTCGAAAATGAAGACTCATGTGTAGTATCAATTAAAAATTTAATTAAATGACACAAGTTTTTTTATAAAAAGATCTTTAAATCGATAAAAATTAATGAACGATCTAAGTAGCGCATAAAGATAACGGATTTTTTTTTATTTGCTGCTTATATGAAAAATATAAGAAACGTGTTAAATGTCTAAAAGTACGATAGATATTTGCATAGCAAATAAGTTCACAGAACATTCTATGTTAGAATTCGTGAATTCATGGTTGCGTAAATAGCTAGGGCAGATCGTTAAATTTCATAGACACGTAGACGCGGTTTGAACCGCGGATCGCTATGGATTGTGCTTCGTGCACCGCTAGATCCGAGGATCTATAGACGCGTATAAATCGCTTTACACATTGCTAAGTCCACGGATTTCCAGTATCTCTCTTCGATGCTCTTAAATCACTGAAATCGCAAACGTACAAATCCCTTGATCGATAAAAGTGTCTAAATTTACATATTTTTTATATTCTACAGATCTTATCGAACTAAACTTATCTGTCTTTCAGCAACTTACATTGTAGATGTAACACGTATGATATATGTGTGCATGTGTGTATTTCTGGGGAAAAAAATTATCGAATGTTTAAGGAAAAACGCGATAAAAAAAGATAAAAATTCTTCTATAGCGTTTTTTTTATTAAACACACAATAAAAATTTAGTTTTTTATTATAAAAACATTCTCATACACTTTGGTATTTTTTATATTTTATATTTAGTATTTTAGTATTTTTATATTTTATATGGCAAAATTTTCAAAATCTACGTAGAATTAAAAGCTGAAACAAATGACAAAGTTCATTTCGGGCAGTAACGGCTGAATTAAAACACGAATTTGAATTGAACGTTTTTACGTTCTTGTTTTCAGGTTCGTCAAACCTGCAATGTTTAATTCCGTTTGAGGCGACGTTTTTCTAAACCCGAAACTCGCGTTTGATACAAAATTCATCAAAGACCATATGTAATGTGCGAATTACATGAGCGGTTGGAAGCGGTACCGGAGTAGCGTGCAATTATTTTCTCTCTGAAAGAACGAAAATTCCACGACGTAGAGACAAATACGCATAGAGACAGGTATAAAAAAAAAAACTGTTTTAATTTTTGCTTCATGATGCAATTTCAATTTTAGCTTAAAATTAATTAAAGATTCCGGTTTTGTGCGGAAAAAAATATGCCTTAATGATGAATATTGAAAGAAGATGCATCGATCGCCGATATAATTAATATATCGACGGCGATTTATTCCAAAACTATTTGCAAGCCGAGTCAATATTCCTAATGGCTTCGTCCCGACAAGCGATTCTCTTGATCGAACTATTTCGGGGCTGAGCATCCGTTTGTGTGTGCATTACGGTCTTTTCATTGAGAAGCTTTCATCGAGGTGTTAATGTTTTCCCGATGAACTTTGCGTCGAGTTGACAGGAATTGCGCGACTCGTCGGAAACCTCGATCAAGTGATTACGCGTGTCGACACGAAGACTCGAGAAACTCGCGCAAGTCGCAGGAGAAGCTTGACTTTAATTTAAACTAAAAGCTGCCAAGAGATTAATTTTGATAAATTAAAATGCAAAACTTTGAGTTTATATACATTAAAATTATCACAAATTGCTTTCTCGATAATGACGTATTTCATCTTCGTGAGATTTTTTCTAATTACAAGATTTTCATTTACTTTTATACATATATACATATATATGTATATATGTAAAGAAAGGGAAACCACGCGGGTCTAATATTTATATTTTAGAAACGACATTTCATTACGTGAAATTGTGACAAAACTTCCGTCGTTAGAATTAAGGTCACGGCTTTATAGAACGAGCCGTGTAATTTATTGCGCGGAGATAACGAGGCGGTTAATAAACTCGCCCGGTTTATATTCGCGATCAGGATTTCGTTTTTCATTAAGAGACGAGCGAAAAAGACGTAACGGGAAAAGGACAAACGCAGTTTGAAATCCGCCACGCGAGACGAAGCAACTGCGATTGGCTGCTGTTTGGACACTACCCGGCATTTTTTCGGTTTCATTCGAGAAGAACCGCAAACCTTCTCTTTATGACTTCATAAATCCCGTTTTTTTTTTCCAATAACATTTTTAGCGTCACGCTCAGTTCGTTCAACCGCAGTATCTCTCGTCGCCGTAACAATTCGGTACTGTTAAATCTTTCGGTGCGCGAGATGCGTTCTCTATTCGTTCAAATAAACCGCTGAGATGGAATCTGGTGAGATAAAAGCGCGTTTAATTGGAAGATGTGAAACACAGAGAGAGTTTGGACTCGGAATGTGTCGCCACGTGTTGAAGAATTTTTTTTTTACAGCGACCGAAAACGCATGGCAAAACAACGTGATTAAAAAAAGAAATAAAACTAACAGATTGATCGATTTACAAGTCGAGGAAAAAACGTGTTTAAATTTCTGAAGACAAAATGGAATAATTATATATTCAGAAATATACATATACCGTAGAATATATGTTTTTGCGATACCTTCGATATTTACCTGTTATCCTTTCTTTTACTGTCACAAGCAATCAATCGTCGGTTAAACGTTATTTGAGATACAACGCCGCAACTCGATCCGATTGTACGCATAATTAGAATTTTAATCACTTATAATCGGATTAATTTTAATTCTAATTTAAACTTTAAATCGAGCGTATTTCAATTAAATTTCAATGAAACTTTGCGACGGGGAATTACTCGATCCCCGGCGCGCAGATGCTTCACGATCGACGACGCGAGAATAAATACATCGCTCGCGCGATATATATATATATATATTATATATTTCAACAAGAACCATCATATCTAAAAGTTTTTTATCGTGTGTACGTCCTATTTGTTACACGCGATATCTGTCGCAGCTACCGCGGTTATATTAAAAACGACGATCAAGATATACGTACGAAAGCTACGCGAAAAAATTATGACGTTATTGTACTCCGATATATGCGTAATCCTCCTGGTATTTTCGTACACACGTGCATGCACAAAGTATTTGCGCCAGAATTAGTCGCCGCATATTCACCGCGGGGAGACATCCGACACAATTCAATTATTTCGTCGTTCGAAGGGAAAACCATTAATATTTCACACGTATCAATGACCGGATTATGGTCGTGCAACTCGCTTTAAATTGCCCGTTATCGTATTTTGTCACAAGTGTTACGTGTATTAATAGGGTGCATTTTAAATTATTCCTCAGTGAAACCGACGCGTGTGTCTACGCGGGAGAAAGAGCGGACAAACAATCTGAGAAGTTAAAGTATGTGATATCGATGCGAAGCGAGCGCCCTGAGATTGAATGACGCATTATTTTTCGACGGCGCCGGCGCCGTCACGATGTGATTTAATAATGTAATATAAAAATATACAACGAGCTCTCTTGTCAAGCGTCAGGGTTTTTTTTCTCGCAAAAAGAAACATCGCGAGAGGAATCGCCGCGCCCCAGTTAAAATGAAAACCGATCACCTCTTCCTCGCCGCAGGATATCTCCCGGACGGTCGGGTACGCGCGCAATGGCCTCTTTCGCCAACAGGAAATTAATTGACGTTGTCATTATTGACAGATGCTTCAAAATCGCGAAGAATATCACGTGAAAAAAAAAAAAACGCCGAGCACGAGGCAAATAAATAAGAAAGATAAGTTGGGAGCGTGTAAAAAGTAGAATTAAATGTCAAAAGACTAAAAAATGACGCTCAAAGATAAAACCGAGATAAACAGTATACAATATAAACAATACAAGGCTTTTTTTGTATCTCACTGGTTACTTCGATAATGTCAGGTTTTAAGTTTGAAGATACAACTGCAATCAATAGTATGATGATCTAAAATTAAATTAAATATTTTTTGTAACATTTTCCGATGTTTCTTTTTTATGTAAAGTGATTTTTATCATGCTTGACGGGGGTCAATAGAAAAAAAACTCGGTAATAGTCCTTTGATAAAGCTGATGCGCGTGCGTCTCAGCGCTACGTAGATTCGTTAAAATCTTGTGACAAACTGTCACCACATACAGTGTCAAACAAACCTCCAAAGCCGCGCGACAAACATAAGTCACCGAGGACAGATGACATGGAAATCTAGCGGTCGTTCATCATCCACGATCGGCTTGATTTATCCGCAAGAGTCGTCCGAAAGCCGTTCCTCATGTCGATAAAGATTGCCGGCTATACTTCAACATGTATAAACTGAATGGCGCAAGTGCGCGAGACAAGACATCTCTATATAAAGGGACATTCGTTATCGAATGCGGTTCCACCCTCAACTCGACAGACTCACCGTGCAAAATCCCGCGATCAGGACTCTCCACATGATCCGCGTGTCTTTCGATCTCACGTCGTTGTTGCACTCCTCAAATTCGAAGTTCAAAGTGTGTTCACCGAGAATACCCGAGACACTCTTACGAACTGAAGAATGCACCACTGTCGGAACAGAGGGATGCAATTTTGACGAAGTTCCCCGGTGGACTGAGACGCGTGCATCGAGCCGGGGATTCCTTTCCCCCTGGTGTCCAGCCGGGCACACACCGTCCTCGCGGATGAGAAGGGGACGCCGCGGCAGAAACCAGGGAACCAGAGAACCACCGGCCTGTCCGGAGTACTGTTAATGCATGCTTGATGCTTCCACTAACAACCATCCTCGCTTCGTGCCGCTCGCGCGCTCGTCCGGCGACGGCCTCGAACGAGTGTTACGAGTCCTTCCGTCGGTTTCGGGTCCGAAGATTTGACCCGAGGGTGATGTCCCAGTTTCCGAGAATAAGAGTCCGCGAAGTGTGTTATTCTCTTCGTGGACAAATATTGTGACTATCCTAATCTGATTCAATTTCCTCCTTGCCTCGATGTTTTGTGTAATTAATATATTTTTTTATGATATTTCACATAAATATTAATTCAGTTTTTATACATGTATACAGTTTTTATACATGTTTAAACATATATTTTCTAAATCATATTCTTTTAATTATTTCACTAGATTAATATCCTAGCTTAGCAGTATCTCTGCTCTATTTTTTTTTAATACTGGCTGCTTAACTTGTATAAAAGATTTTTATGCCGTTTTACGTTCGTTATATTAATAACACAGAACTCGTATATTTCTTTTAAACTACGTTATTATTATTATTTTTTTAATGAAACGCGTCACGGTTTACGGTGTCTTTTGGTTTTTACATTAAATCAAATTACGGGACTGATCTATATAGCCGCGGAATTTAAACAATTTCGTTCCTTCCGTTTGCGGATACATTCCGATCCGGGAAGTTCAGCGAATCGCGAAATATTGCGCGATTCTGATACGCATAATAGGCGAATTGCTTAACCGGTTATTGACTTCTTCCGTCACGGATAACTCGAAATTTTATTTCACAAAATTTACTCTTTGTTCGTTGTGTAATATGTTCCTAGAAATATTGCTCGAGACTGTCGTAGAGCACAGAGAATTAAATGCTTATCGGCGTCATGTGTTCCCGTAAAAAGTAAGAATGACGAGCCGGAATTTGCACGGATTTTACTGTACTTGTCATTGACTGAGCTGATAAAGTCGCTCCGATGTTTTACAAACGTTCGACTAGTAATACAATAGTAATCTCCTCCTTATTCTCTTCCTCTCGTGGAAAAAAAGAAATTGTCCTTCCGTTAGTTTTTGTTGCACATGCTTGCCTCATCGTTTACTTAACTCTCTCAAATGCATTCTTTCGGTTACTTTACCATCGTTAAAATAAATCATTTATTCTCGTTACATACTGACACACAGTACGCAAAAGTACATTTAAAAATATAGAAACATATTTTCCGTGTTGCCAAAAGAAAACAAAAATAATCATTTATTTCGAGACGTACACGCTCTGCGTAAGAAACAAAATATATTATAATTTCTCATTTTTGATATTGTACTTCAACCGCAGTAAATCTAAGAAAACGGAAATCTTAATGCTCAAAAAAAAAAAAAAAAGATCGACGTGATCGTCATTGTCGTCTTCTTCGCGTTCGCGATTTGCCGGCATTCGTTATGGTCCGTGACGACGGGGAAGGCGCGCGTTGCACGCGCTGTTACATCAATGCGCGCCGACGTAACAGCCGACGAGGCGCTAACAATTACGTCGTTAATAGCGAACTTGCTATCTCGTGAGCGGGACGGGCGCGAAAGAAAGACGATCGGAAGCCGAGGCGAGCGAATTCTGCGGGGAATTCTCTCGCTCTGCGTCCAGACTCGCGGAAAAGACTTCTCTCGAGACGTCGCGCAAAAAACACTTCTCTCGCGCCGCTGACCTCCTCGTTGCCGCTGGTGGCTGCATCCGCACACTTTTTCCTATGGGCAGTTACGGTAAGTTCACGCCGTGCGCGAATTTGTCGAGAGCGTGCGCGCTGAGAGCGTGATGGGTCCTAATAGGGTGATTTCTACCGACTGTAACCGCAAAATGCAAACCAGCGCACAGCTAGTTCATTGACTACAACAAGATATATACATGTATATTGAAAAAACAAAATTTTACATGTTACACGTATATTGATAATCAAGTAAATGCATCAAATTTGCTGATTTATAATCATGACAATGTTTAATCATATTTCATCATTTATTTTAAATGATTAATTAATTTATTTAAGAAATAAAGTTGGTTTATCGGCACTACACCTCGTTCGATGGAAAGCGTTTAATTTACTCATATCTCCTTCTTCGTTATATAATCGATACCAAGTTCTCGTACGTGCCTATCAACCATTGGATTAATCAGTGTAAAAGCGCGCGCGCGCAGCTACAGATACCTCAGTTTGCAACGTAAATAAATACATTTATTGACCACACTCCACTTTCTGTATTCTATATATACGCGGCGCTCGTTTATTCGTGTAAGTAAACAGTTCATTCTGTTCTTCCGTAAACGGTCGGAAAATATAATGGACAAATAGTAGATATTATAATGATAAACTCTCCGAGGCAAGTTCTCGCTAATTTTAATTCAGTTTTCTTTGCAGAGATCTTGTTTTTTCGTTTTTTTGCTACAGTTTTAATTTAATTTAAATAAACGTTTTGAGAAGTAGCTCGAATTTACAGATCGCGGCATTTAAAAATATCTATAGGATAAATTTTATTTAAAAATAAAATTAAAAAATAAAAAATTATAATAAAGTATATCATTATAAAATCTTTTTGTCGCTTATGTTTCGAGAATAAGCCAGTTTCATTTCCAAAAAAAAAAATTTGAAATTCTCTGAACAGTTTTATGAATAATACGAATAGGTCATTTTAAATTTTTATACGCAACTACGTGACTTTATATGAAAACCAGGTTTTGTAAACATCTTATTATCTCAATATCTTACAATTTATAATTCACAGTTGCAATTCAAAATTTAAGAATTTTGTGTTTTAGTAAAAAGAGAAAGAAGAGAAAACATATTTGATGCGCAAACCAATTTAAATAAAAATATACAGACTATTTTTTTTTTGTTATCAAAATTGTGAGCGCCCGAGTTCTTTCGTATTCCACTCGCGCACGAAAAGAACATCCCATCTTCGCGGCAGACGTTGCATCGCAAATCGCGCTCGCGCTTCGTTTCGTTTCCCTTCTCCTTCATTAGGCGGATACATTGTCGAAGAGAGCTAACGAAAGCGGAATTCGGCGGTTAGCTGGCGTGTCATTAATTATCCCCGATAGAGCTTCAGCGCGCTGTGCGCGCGCGTTATTATCAATTAAGGTAGCCCCTCGGACGCGGCAATTTCCTTCGCGCCGCCTGTTACAGGAGCGATCGCGATACGAGCCGTGGCTAGTTTGCTCGCCACGCTCGGCCATTCGCAAAAAGAAATTACACAAGACGAAGGGCGATCGTACGATAATCGCACCCGCACGCGAGCGGAACTAAGCTCGTAGGGACTTTATCGAGGTATCGGCAATGTATCGATGTATTATTTGGATGCTTTGTTCTCAGGCATCGAGCGTTTAGAGGCTCATTGCGTTCTCTTATTTACTGCTAGTGTTTTCAACTAACCGATTCTTGCGCGGAAAAATTTATTAGAGTGTGACGTGAGCATTAGATTGTTACGTAACAGTATTTTGTAATAATAATTAAAAAGCGATTGTTTTAATAATAATAACTGAGAGAAAGAAATTATAGACATATATTGTGTGCCATGTACTTATTAAAAGTTTTGTTTAACTAAAATATATTTTTTGTATTTTTATATTTTATACAATAATACAGTAATAAGAGGTAATTATGTAAAAACGTTATGTATAAATTTGAGTTTACCGAAAACACCCACTATACAAGTATAATTGCTAGCATGCGATATAATTCCGTAAAGGAAATTTGCATTCTGGGCTGCACAATTGCACACGAGTGCGTGCAAAATTACACGAAGGAAGGCGGTCCATTGCGCAATAATGATGCATAGTAAATGAGCGCAAACGAAACATGTATACTAATTACTTATCGGTTAAATTATGCGCGCACTTCTCTAGAGAATCTTGCTCGTTTATCTGAAATTTCTTTCTTGCAGCCCGCCACATTCGATAATTTCGTTATTAGTCTCATTGTTAATTGAGATAACGTCATACGGAGAGACACTCGACGATCCGTGTAACATCCGTTATCCGCGCATAACATGTGTTAATAGCAGATTTTCGTTAATCCATTCTCTCTCTCTCACTGAAATCCTCACATTCAATTATTAATGCGCTCATTTTCGAGAATCCCGTATAATCACTGTTAACGTCTATGTTAATAATCTATTCGACGAGAATAATAGCAAAATTATACGCAATTCGTAATATTTGAGATTAATCGCTCGAGATTCGTGCTCATTCCGTTTCACGTCCGCGTACATCAACTTCGATAAAATATGGCATGAGCGATGTTAAAGAATTTATTACGCTTTGTAATGTATATACATGTATATACCGCTGTATCCTAAATACAACGTGCGCGTTGCGGAACAATTGCTGTAATACGGGATTTTCCGTAAATTCTCCACGTTGCGCCTCTCGTCTTTGAAAATAGTTCCTGGAAATGCTCAACTTCCCATCGTTGTTATATCATTACTGTATTATTACCACTGGGTTTCAGTCATTGGGAGAAACGGTCATCGAAGGGCGATGATAAAAGTTGGCGTTTCACTTTCCGCCAGATTGCCAACGATTTCCGCTTGATATGTGAGAGAGCTTTTTCTTGAGAAGACTTCCGTCCGAAAGACAGAGGCGATAGAATCGGCTTAACAGGATCATGGACTGAATTTAGTGTACTTCCGAAGACGTAAAGCGTACGCTGGTCCGAAGCGTGTCAATTAGACTCGCAAATCCGTCTGTGTATCTTTTTTTCTTCCGAGAACACACGGTTGTACACATCTCATCGGAAAAACGCGTATGGAGTTACAGGACGATACCTCGTCTAATCGTTTCATGTGAAAAAGTTTAATTTTCTAACCGAGCGCTTTCTCTCTCTCTTTCGTCGTTGTTTCCGCAGGACTCGCGGGGAAGAATCGTGCATTGCGCGCTTGCCGAGAAAAGATACTACTTGAATTTTCTCGTAAAGTGTGTGCGCGAGAACACCGGTGCTGCCCTTCACGGCTCAGAGCGTTTTGGCATGTGGCATGAAAAATCCGGATGTGCGCAACGGTCCCGCTCGTATCTTTAATTCATTTTCTCTCTCTCGAATCGGTCGAAGAAATCCGGCGCGGAAAAGCGACCGCCGTTTTCCATTCCGTTTTTCCCCGGCGCGCGGCTGAGTTCCGTTAACCGGCGACCTTTTTGCTTATTAAGAAACTTCAACGTTTAAGAGCGGCCCTGCGCGTTTATTTGCCAAACGCCCCTTGCGAGGTTCACGCGCCACGGCGCGCGCGCAATTAATAAGCGCCGTGCACAGCGAAGGAAAATAAATCACGTCCGATGTTGTGCAGGTAATAAGAGGTAACCAGACGTTATCTTTTGCCAGGTGGAACCTTCGACACAAACTTGAAATCTATTTCTCCTCGTCCCGATGAAGATTTATCGCACGCTACGACGTTCTCGATTTATTTTTTATGCAAATTTTTCCGGCACCTTATTTTTCAGACTTTCAAAATAGATTTATATATTGCGCGACAATATTCTCTAAAAAAAAAAAAAAAAAAAAAATAACACTTTTCATTTATTTACACTCTCTGGCAATTCTGCGGTTTACTCTAAATATTGTAAATAAGGTTCAGTTTTATATTTCCAGCTTGCGTTGTATGATTTTTTTATTTATAATATAAAAACTTAATAACTTCGAAATCGGATTATTGTTAAAGCTGCAGCGCGGAAAACAAAATTACTAAATTTAATTCGCCAGAAATATCGTATTTATGCAAAGTAATTAGCGTTATAAACACGAGTTTTGCGGGGGTTATAACTGAAACTCGTAACTAAATTCGAATCTTTATTATCCAATGCTGATACAACGAGATCTCACAGCAGAAACGAAACAGCGTATTATTACGTGGCAATATAAAAATATATATCTCTCTAATACCGTCGCGCGCGCAAGGCGCTCGCTTGGCATTAAACAGTAAAAAGTAGAAAATATTGTGCACACTACCGTACACATCGTGAAGTATGCGGCAACAAAATCCGCGTTATTTCCTATCCTTTTTCACGCTCAGCAGTCTATAAACAGACACTCTCACCACACGGCGAACGTTCGAATTCAAGGATAAATAAAAAGAAAGAAAACAAGGAAAAAAAAAAAAAACACAAACGTCTATAAAATTGTGAAACGTAAACGATATTAAATAAAATATATGTACTTAACAAACTAAATGTGTCGTTTAATGTGTTTTTTATTTGTACATTTGAACTAACTAAAGTTCGAGGGCGTTTCATGTGTTAAAGAATTTCATCTTTTTATACCAACGAACAAGTAAACAAAAATAAGAATAAAAGAAAAATACTGAAACTAATAACACTTTGTCTCTTCATCAAGCACAACAATAATCGTTTTGTGAGACGATCGTGAGACCTTTTATATATGCTAATACGTTTATTACTCTATAAATTGTCGCAAAAAAAAATTAATGAAAATACTTTCGCAACCATTTTCGACCGAAGAACATAAATTTAGCGATGTTGTCCACGAAATACAACGCGCTTTCGTTGCATTACAGGTCTGGTTAAATGCACGTCATACTTCAGTCTACGCTAAATCTACATTCGTCTTCCACTTACTCGGTAAGTGTACTTTTCGTCATTTATAACCGTTATGGCAACAAAAACAGAATTCACGTTTAATTGTGCCTAAGAGCGATAAAGACATATACAATAGTCGCAAAGTACTCTCATTTTTTTGTAAGAGACGTCAAAAAGAATTAACGTCGTTAAACGCGTTCGGCACATTCGTTTACTACTACAGCGCATTCCTGCGCTTTAATTTCGTCGCTGTCGCCGTTCATTTTGACGGGAGAGCCGGACGTGGTCGTGTCAGGACTATCGTGTCCCGAGTCACTCTTGTTATTGTTTTCTTTGTCGTCGTTTATCTTTTTTTCGGTTGTCCTCGACCTGGCACCTCTCCTTTCCTGCGATCTGCCCTTCGGCTTTTTCTCCGGATCAAAGTGACGTTCGAGAATGGTCATCAAATCCGCCACCTTCTTTTCGTCGACCTTTGGCAGCTTTTCCTTCATCAAAACTTCCAGTCCATCCTTCTTCGCATTAGTCCATGCATCCTAAAACGCGTGTTTCACGACTTTTTTTTATTACGGCTCGTTACAACTCGTTAGATGAATCGATTCTTCTCCGTAATGATGAAGAATTAATTAACTTTATAATTTATATTTATAAATCGATTTGTAATTATTTGATCCAAATATTATTTTATTTCGAAATAATAATTTAATAGAAAAACCAAGATTTTGTGTGCGCTACGTTTCCATTTGATATTGCTTAGTGTAAACGATCTCGATTGTTGGCACACAATTAATCATGTGTGTATACACACTCACCTGTAGCTCCGAATACACGATTCCAGCTTCGGCAAGCAATCGGCGTAGAGGACTAGCGTGTTGACGTTCGCGGCGGTTCATACGAAATAGGGCGCTGAATATCGGCCGCAGATTGTTCTGCCGCTCGAATATCATCTTTAGTTCTACAACAAATATTACGTTTTGATCAAACTGAGTTTGACAAAAGATATTATAGTTTTCAAATTAAATATGTTCAATGACATACCGTTATGTTCCCGCTCTTCGACGTCAATGGGTTGCGCAAATTCTTGAATACATTCCATCGTTTTTTTCATCGCAACGTCGCTCTTCTCGCTGTTGTTAGCATCTTCAGCTTTGCCGTTCTCAAACGTGCACAAGTATTGCGCTATTTGTAACGCCAATGATGCTCTGTCCTGCGCATTGCCCAAGTTCGATTCTTTCTTCAGTAATGTGCGCGACAACGTACGGAGGGAATAAATATGTGCCGAGTTCGCGCATTTATCCTCTGCTATATTGAATCCGTTCGCGAATCCCTTGACCGTTTGTTTGAACCGATCAACTAGATCGTACTTCTTTAATGATTCAAGCAACATCGCGGGGATGACTTTGCGAGGCTCATGATAAACCAGAATTACACCATCTGTATTTCCTTTCATTTGTTCCAACCAGGTCAGAAAGTCCGTAAGTGCAGATACTTCACTTTTGGATTTGATTACCTAAGAAAATGAATAGTTTTCTCCAATTCAGAAATATATTCATATATATATACATGTATATTTCTGAATATATAATTTCTCATATATAAGTAATGTTTATTAATTTTTTTTCGAAAGAGACGAAGTGTAGTGTCATAAAAATTAAAAAAAATAATTTATCTTAAATTTGTCTATTTATTACAAAATTATTATTAAGTTCAACTAAAAATCATTGCAATTTATGTTTAAGTTTAATGATAAAAGTTTTTTTAGAACCATATTTTTGAATATTTTCAAATTTATAAAATAAAATAAATTGAACAGTTGGTGTGAAAAGTTTTCTTTCTCTGGTACAAAAGAGAGTCGATAATATTGTGATCTTGATTCGTACCTCGTTGGTCTTACTGTTTCTTAGCACACGGAATTTGCCATTGGTCACAACCTTCATGCTGTGTCGTTTTATTGCAGTTGGATTGAGATCCTTGTACGGCATCACATATTGCGAGTAAGTCGAAGTAGGAGTATATCCTGCTATCTGACAGATTTCGTCAATGACCTTTTTACCCGTTGTATCCATATCCCAACCGACCAAAGAATAGTCTCCTGGTGCTATACCCATTGTACTGCAATTTTTTACTGGGCTTGTCTGCCCATTCTCCGTCACTTCTGAAGATACCATTTTTTGCAAAATAACTCTTTCCTGAAAAGCACAATAAACGATATAATCGTATTTTATCTTAACTAATTATTTCTTTCTTTTTCTTATCATTCTTATATCTAAAAAAAAAATGATATCTAACTTTTTACTATATTGATTAATCTAAAGCAATATCAAGTTATAGATATGATGTACAGAATATTATAGCCTTTATAATATTTGGCCTTGAAGTTCACACTGTGTTTCTTGAGAATGTAAACACTAGCTAATTGAAAAGCAACAACATCCAAGATACTGTTTGAAATTCTTGTGTCCGAATACGTACATACAATATATTATATTTTGATTTTATCTGTTTCATGACTTATTGTAAAGAGAAAAATAAAATATAT